GTGTTAGATATGGGCGGAGGCGCGCTATGTTCTTGAGTTGGAAGCGACAGGATTTGGCTATCGATTGAACATGGGGAGTAAAAGAGAGATCAGAATCAAAAAGAACCCCTAGGCAGCGAGCCTGCGAGGTAGAGGTGATAGTAGCGCCGTTGACTTGGATGGAGACAGACACAGGAGTAGCAGCACTTGAGGGAGGAAAAACTAGAAGTTCTGTTTTGGACAGGTTGAGTTTAAGGAAGTGAGCAGCCATCCAGTTGGAAATAGCAGAGAGGCAGTCAGAAACACGAGTCAAGGTGGGCGGAGAGAGATCAGGGAAGGACAGGTAGATTTGCATGTCATCTGCATATAAATGGTATTGGAAGCCAAAGAAGCTGATGAGTTTACCAAGGAAGGCAGTATAGATAGAGAACAGTAGGGGGCAGAGGACAGAACCTTGGGGGACGCCGACAGAGATGGGTTGGGGAGAAGAGGCAGAGCCAGAGAAAGAAACACTGAAGTGGTCTGGGTGCCTACAGTGTCCCTTTAAGTGAACAGACTGATAGAACATTTATTAATATGTTATTATTTATATAGCTTAGAATCCTTAGTGCTGAATTCATTGGCGCAATGCGGCCTTTGGACCCCAGTCCTGCTGTTCTGGGTTTAATCTCTTGTGTCCAGGTTGGCTGGCATTTACTAGCATCTGCCATGTACCCTGTGATGATAAATACTTCCATCTCGGCTCACTGTCAAGCAGAATGGTCACAGCTCTTATAAAATGTAGCGATAGGCTAACTCACCAGGGCTCTCAGCCTATCTGCCCTGTCCTACCTGTCCTCCAGCTTGGATGAAATTGCCAAAGGAACACACAAAACACATTGAGCACTGTAGAGTACTGACAAGCTATATGTGTCTAGAGTCTGTCATATTTGCAACAGTTTATAAAAGTGCTGACAGGGATAGAAATCAAAACTCTTATAAACCTTCCCCAAAAGGCCTCGCTATCTGTAACTAAGACAGCCGAGTATGTTTTCTACCGCTTACATTAGCTCCACAGCTAATGGAGACAGCAGACACGCTGTGCTGGTGCTCACCTAACTTCCCCCTTATTAAATGAGCTGTACTACAACTCATTGATAAGCATAACCAGGACATGCGTTTGCATCTCCAGCACAGAGACCACTCTATGAGAATCCTCTGATTGGAGTATTCCCTGACATTGGATGACTTATTTGTTTGTGGCAAACCACAGACCATTTTACGTTTTGCCTGATTTAATGAATGCACAGAGTAGTCTGTTTTTAAACAACTAATTGTACACGTCTATAAAATGTCTGATGGCATCTTCACTTTAAGCTCATCTACATTAATTGGGAAACCTGGAACTCGCGTGGCGCTGTGCGTCTGAATTAATCACTCTGCTTCAATGCAGCACGTTTCATGAGCACTGCACTACACAGTGTCACCATAACAATACCTGTGACTAACAACTGCAACAAGGTATGAATATTGATTCATGTATATTTACAGAATATCATAGGGCAGGGCTCAACAAATCCCAAGCGCCAGGTTTCCATGGCAACTAGGAATTTTGTCAGCCTGTTCAACACTGGTCACCTTACGACCCCCTGTGGAGGGCGGCTGTGAGCAATGGAGGAACAAGAAAGTGGAGACAACGTTTCTGCTCCTCTCTGATAAAGGCTCAGAGAGGAGCCGAAACATTTTCTCCACTTTTTTGTTCCAAATAAAAGACTGCCTTTTAGAAGACACCTCAGGTGTACCTAGATTTGCCGGGAGCTGGGTTATGACATCACTCCGCACTGGCATCACTAAACAGCACGCAAGGGGGCAGAGCAAGAAGAACTTAAAGATTAAAGGATCATAGCAACTCCACTGGACCCGAGGGAAAGGATCTACTCCAGCTCTCCCAAAGGTAGGAAGGCTGGGTTCACGTAAATTAAAATAAAACAAATAACCATAATTTGGGAGTGTGTGAGAGAATGTATGTGTCTGTATCTGTCTGTCAGTTAGTATGTGTGTGTGTCTGTGAGTGTTTGTCAGTGTGTGTCAAATCAGTGAGCAGTTGACATATAACTTCCAACATATTTGAATACAGGACAAGAGGGTGTGCTATGACAAGATGAGTGACCCGAAAAGGGGGCATTAAGTGGAGCAATAAGGTTGTGCTGTCCAGCAACTTGCAAAATGTGCTGGGGTGGTCAGAAAATATCTCACCTATCAACTAAGGGTGGCCAAATGGTAGAACCCTAGTTGTTGCAGAACTACAGCACCCATGATGCTTTGCCAGCCTTAAAGATGGTAACGCAACATAAGCATTGTAGCTCTGAACCAGCTGGGGTTCTACTAATTTACCACCCCTGGTCTTTAGGTTTTATTGACTAAACAGTGAATTGCGAAGAATCGAAAAGTAAATTTAAAAATTAAGACTAGAGTAACTAAATTGTTATGGTTAATCAATACACTGTGACAGGGGGGGAACTACCAGCATTGCACCTCCGGGTCGGGTGCTGTGGCCCTTTAACAGCATCATATCGGCAGTGCTGGTTGGAAGTAAGTGCAGGTTACTTCCTCCAAGCTTACAGACAGCAATGTGGGGAAGTATAGGAGATGTCAGATAGATGAGGGAACTGAGAGAGCAAGTACAAAGTCTGGACCAGTTCAGACACCCATCAGCCTTAGCCAGCAGACAGATCCCACTAGACCACAGGAAAGCCACCCTCCTGCACCCAAAAGGTATGGAAACAGGAGAGTCGTTTAAAATGTAAAAATTATGACTTGCATGTGTGTGTCAGTGTGTTTATATTTGTGTTTTTGGGTCCTAGTATGTTTACACAGTGTGTTTCTGCAATTGTGTATGTGTTGCTGTGCCAGTATGTGACACTGCATACAAACATAACCTTGCATTCAAAAGCCAACATGCAATCACACCCCTATATTCAAACACAGACACTACACACAAACACACCACTGCAATCAAAAGACAATAGTACATGCAAACACACCATTGCATTCAAAAGTCAACACTACGTACAAAAACACTCATACATTCACACACATACGCCATACCAACTTCCTCAGATCACTTGCAGATTATTGCTCAGCTGCGTATAATGCTAAGTAAAAAAAGTCAATACTCTCCCCTAATGAAAGGGACCCAATAGGCACCCAGACCACTTTATCTCACTGAAGGAATGGGGGGACCAGAGGGCACTATAGTTTTAGGAATAAAGATACATATTTTATCATTATGCCACCTGTCAGCACTTTCACCCATGCCTCCTACAGCATTCCCCACTCCATGTATTAAACCACAAATACCTCCTTTTCAGTGAACACACTTATCTTTACCACCAACTGCCTTTCTCTGCTGGTCTCTGCTGTCCCAAAACGAGTCCCTCCTGCGTTCTTACGTCTTATGAACCTAACTTTTTGTGTCTTGTCTTTACTTTATGTACTGTACACTCCTTTTCTTCGATTTTCTCCTCACCCAATGTAGAGAAATTGTTAATCATTGCTTCTAATTTATATTTTCATCATATTTACATTGTACGGTATACTGATTGTAAAATAGTACTCCTTATATTGGCACAATCATGGTTACATTGCTGTTACTCCCCAATTGTATTTCTCCCTACAACCTTTTGTCTCAATGTACATTCCCCTTCTAGATGGTAAGCTCATGGGCATTGTTCTCTTCTCCTTTTGTTCCTTGAGTCTCCCCTTCGCTGCCCCCCAGGAGATTGTCAATGACAGCAGTCTCCCGTTCTCTGCGGCTAAAATTAGATACACTGGCATAATCGCATTTTGGGGATGCATATTTGCATGTGTAGCCATAAATTTGTGCATCAGCCCTGGTTGGGTAGGGGCATTATATAAGCGCAGGACTTATTTTTTTGTATTTACTTTGTATCACACAGCCTTGTTACAATGCTGCCGCCCATCCCATGTGTTCCCTATTAAGGGTTAATAAGAATATAGGGGTGTATATAAAAAATACCCCTCGCTGTCTCATTAGAGATATCTTTGCCAGAAGCTCAAGGAAGCAGGCTGAAGGGTTAGTGTTGAACCCGCTTTAGGGGGGTCTGCATTGACGTTGGCAGGCATTCCCTCCAATGGCTATTGGAGCAACTAAATGACATCCATTTGTCTAAATATACATGGGAATTAAGGAGAGAGCGCAGGTAACTTTTTATTTTCTTTGGTTTTTACTATATATTGGGGCTGATGTGTACTGTAGTCATTGCTGCCGGCCCAGTAGCGATGGGAGTGAGAGCAGGACTAATCTTTTTGTATTTGCATCCTCTATACACCAACATTGTTTTGTTAAAGGTATACTCTAGTGCCAGGAATGCAAAGCTGTATTTCTGGCACTATCGCACTCTCTGCCTCCCCCTCCCTCAAGTTCCTCTCCACTGTAAATATAGGGTTAAAAAGCCTTTATTTACAGCGTTGATATCCCTCGGCACTGGGTCAATGCTCCGCCCCCGAGACGAGACAAAGCTAATTGCGCATGCACGGCAAATTAAATACAATGCTTTCCTAAGGCGAAAAATCTGACGCTGGATATCATCATGCAGAACGTCCAGTGTCCAATACTGGACCAAAGGTCCATTTGGATCCAGGAAGCCCTCTAGTAGCTGTCTGTTACGCAGCCACTGTGGGCAGACTTAGTGCTGCAATGTAAATATTGCCGTTTCTCTGGAACCGCATTGTTTAACATTGCAGCACTAAGTGCAATTGGGACACAGCACCCAGACCACTTTAATTAGCTGAAATGGTGTGGGTGTCTATAGTGTCCCATGAAGTTTAAGTTGTTTCATTGTTTAGAGGGTCTGTTTAAGCTCACATATGATATGTTTTCCCTATTGATCAGAGAATACATCATGAATTCAGGTAGCAGCCTTTTCATTATAATATGACAGCGGCAATGTTAACAAGCCGCCAGCTGGCGTCGCTCGTGTTCCCATCACCAGCTGCAGATCCGACCTGTCAGGGACGGAGTGACGTCACTGCCGTCTTGCTGGATACTCTGTAACACTGAATAACCGGCTGATACATTGTGACAGCTCAGCGCGAATCGGCGATCGGCCTGCAGGGGGGGTAATAACACGCAGGCTGTGAGTGGCCGGTCATTAAGGAATGGCAGAAGCCGGGTCCCTGCAGTGACTCCCCCCCAGTGTGGATACACTATGGATCAGGCTCTGAGTGAGTCCCACCGGGGCCCCCACGCTGCCAATGACTGGGATTTCCTGGATATAGACATGGAGCAGGTCGACCTGCGAGCTCTGCCCACCGCCCTGATCGGCTGTAACCTGGAGGCCAGCGTGTTCCATGATATCCTGAGCCGGGTGAGTTTACAATCTAATTCCTGGCTACAGGCAGGGACAGGGGGTCAGCATGTGTGGGGTGGGGTGTTTGCAGGCCGAGGTAAAGGCTAGCATGGGGGTGTTAGCAGGCCAGGGAGAGCAGGGTTATGGGTTGGCATGAGGGGTGCTAACAGGTCAGGGTTTAGTATGGGGGGGATTGAAGGACTGCAGGCCAGTGGTCTGCAAGATTGGGGATGGAGTCAAGGTATGCAAAGTAGGGGGAGCAGGCCAGGATTATCAAGATGGGGTGCCAAAAGTGGGTATTGGAGTACAGGGGGCCGTATCATTGCTTGTCTGATGGGTACAGGGTTGGGGGGGGGTCTGTATTCCAGAGTTTCTGATGGGTACGGGGATGGGAGGCTGTATTGCAGAATTTCTGATGGGGATGGGAGGCTGTATTGCAGAATTTCTTATGGGGTTGGGAGGCTGTATTGCAGAATTTCTGATGGGTACGGAGTTGGGAGACTGTATTGCAGAATTTCTGATGGGTACGGGGTTGGGAGACTGTATTGCAGAATTTCTGATGGGTACGGGGTTGGGAGGCTGTATTGCAGAATTTCTGATGGGTACGGGGTTGGGAGGCTGTACTGCAGAATTTCTGATGGGTACGGGGATGGGAGGCTGTATTGCAGAATTTCTGATGGGTACGGGGATGGGAGGCTGTATTGCAGAATTTCTGATGGGTACGGGGATGGGAGGCTGTATTGCAGAATTCTGACATCTTTACCTTTTTGACGTGGTTATAGTGCCTGGAGTCCCCTAGCGCAGCCAGTCTATTCGGTGATAAACTGTTTTAGTACAATAGAAGTGTCCCTGGCACCCCATCCTGTCTTTGTTGCCCAGACTTGTGAGTAAGCAATGGATGGCTGTAATGGGCAGTTTCAGCGTATCACAGTGCCATTGCTGGTATGACTTAGTATGGCTAGAAGGAAGTATGTAATCTATGCCTTAGTCACACCTCCAGGTTGCAGATGGCCAGGCACCCTTATGTACTGTTAAATGAACACTATAGCATTAGGAACACAAACCTGTATCCTAACTTAATAGCATTCTACTCCTTGACGTGTGTGAGGACGTTGAGCAGTGAGCACTTCCTGTCAGTCCGGCCGGGTACAAGAAACACAAGCTCCTGTACTGCGGTCTGCAGAACAGGTAGGAGGCAGAACAGGGAAGGGAGGCGGGAGATGGCACAAAGATGGGGAAAAAGACCACTAAGGGAGTGGGGGAGGGAAAAGAGACCACTAAGGGAGGGAAAAGGCCACCAAAAGGGGAGAGACTACTAAGGGGAGAGACCACTAAGGGAAAGCTTTGGGGAAGGAAACTCTAAGGAACAGTGGGAAGGGAGAGCATTAAGGACTGCTATAGGTACCCAGACCCTGAAGGCCATTAGAGGCCATTTCCGGGATTTACACTGAGTATATTGCACTTATCTGGCGCTGGACGTCCTCACGGCGGAAAGCATTATTCGGGAGATGACGTCGGCTGACGATTAAGGTAAGTGGCTGAAAGGGTTTTAATCCCTTCAGCGCCGAGGGAGGGGGGATCTCCAAGAACCTATAGTGCCAGGAAAACTGCACTATAGGAGGGGGGCAGAGGAGAGCACTAAAGGATAGGCGGGGATGGTAGAGCACTAAGGGATAGCAGAGTATTAAGGAGCAGGAGGGGAGGGGAGAGCACTAAGTGGCAGGAGAGGAGGGAAAAGCACTTAGGGGACAACACTACACACATACACAATGCATCCCTAACACATACAGACACACCAAAACATACAATGCATCCTACACTCACACAGAAACACACCATGCATCCATTACACACACACACACACACACACACACACACACTGCAGCCCTTAATGCATCTCTTACACACTGCATTAAATACACAGAAACACACCTTGCATCCCTTACACATACACAGATTCACACAATGCATCCCACACACACTACATCCCTTACACAAACTGGTATCCCAATACACTACATTACATCCTCTACAATAACACAAAACACATCCTCCTATATACATACACTCCACGCACTGTGAGCGAACTCATGGGTGGGTCTTGCAGGCATACTCAGTCAGACCCTGGGGGCCCAGACCGCGATCTGTGTAAGGGCCCCCAAAAAGTGCAGCTACTACCTGATCATTTATTTTTGTGAGCACTGCCTCCAGAGAGCCTGTTTTAACACCAGACCAGTGGAGCCACACTGCAGCCTGAGCCCATCATCCTCTTGTCCTCATCTGGTGGTAAGTAGGCAACCCAGTATATTATTAGTGGCACTAATCTCTAATTTACCTCTCATTAACCCCTTAAGGACCAAACTTCTGGAATAAAAGGGAATCATGACATAATGAACTTAATTTAGTGGTTCTGGTGTCTATAGCCTGTCTCTGCAGGATTTTTAATGTAAACACACTGTCTTTTCAGAAACAAGACACTGTGTGCAGCACTAGCGTTAACGCATATGGCAGATCATATGGGTGGGGCATTGTGATGTCACATGGTGGGGGGCAGCAAATTTTTGTTTGCCTAGGGTGGCAAAAATCCTTGCACCGGCCCTGGAGAGAATTCTTTACCATTCAACTGGGCCCTTTTTCCTAATTGGAGGAGGTGAGTGCAGGGACATTTCCCATGATGCTCCCATGTGTTTCATTAACACTGGCTGCGCATTATAATAGAATACTGTTATTCAACAGCTGGGGTGTCGCAGTTATGTATCAGTTCTTTAGACATTTTGAATATTTAAAGTGACTCTGCTGTGAATAAAACAACTTACCTGGAGTCCCATATACATTGAATACACCATATATCACAAACATACCGGGTGTATTCAATGTAAAATAGAGATTTAATCCCCTTTTTCACTGTTCCAGCGCCATCTTCAAGCTTCATGGGCATTACTCTTCGAGTAACACTCACCCTCTGGCTGCCCTCCGCTCTTTCTGTAGTCTTCTTTGATTTGCCCTGCTTGGGACCCATTCCCAAGCAGAACAAATCTTATACTACCTAGCTGGCACTTTCCATAGCAACTACAGCGCATGCTCTGTGGTTGCTATGGGTGGGAAGTCTTTTCTGCTTTCCCATGTCAATCAATGCCTTTGCATGCAGAAACATTGACAACAGATGGGAGGGAAACTCATTTTAAATTTTTTTTTTTTTTTTTTTAATCTGTACATTTGCTAGTAAAATTGGTAGCATAAAGTACAGATAGAATCTTATGTTCAGTCTAATGAACATGCGTTGTTTGGGGCATGGCAGGGCCCCTTTTAAAGATATGACTGCTGCCTTTGCCTTCTGTTTTGTTCTTGCTCCGTACCTGTCTCATGTTTATAATTTTTATAGTTGAAAATGATTGTGTTCTAAATTGCTAGCTTTTGTTATTGCCATAGTAACTGGCATTGGATTGCATTTTACAAATATTCAACATTTACCAGTGAAAAACGTGACACGTTTAGTGCTAGATTTCATATGTAAGATACATTAAAAAAACAAACAGCTAATTTTCGGTCATTTTGCAGTCTTGTAGGTTTTTCCAGACGCCTGAAGGATTTATTGGTGCACATGACCCTTCATCTAAACGAAATTGACTAAGAAATTCCAGCCTTTTCCTGGTCTCCTCTGTAAGATAACGTAGCCCCTGCTTTTTCTTGCAATATCTTTTGTAGACGCTCTACTTCTTTCAAGTCAGGGTGGCAAGAAAGTTATTTGCGAATGAAGCTGTGTTGAGCATAGTGTCTCTGTGTTTTAGAACACCTTGCTGGGTGACTAAAGCTGCAATTCCTCCTGAGTAAATATTACAGACTTGCGACAATGGGAGACACATTATAGAGGCACTGCATGCCAGTGTAGTGGTTATGGTGCAATTAGTCCACAAGTGCTATTCCCCAGCTCACAGTCAATCCATTTTTAAAAGATTTAAGAAAAAATAGGACATCCACAAAGTACCTAGGGCACTGCTATTGCTAATGCTAGACTTCTGAGTTAGCAATAGCCAAGCTTGGTGCCTTTGGTTTAGGTCAATCTGCTGGAAACCAATTGACGAAGAACTAGGAAATGGCACCTGTGGCCTAATGGAACCCGGTGACCTACAAATAGCGTTTATATTGCAAACACAAAGCACCACTCGTATGAAAGGGAATTATTCTCTGTCAAATGAGCAATCTTATACTACGTCTCGTAGTAAGTAATTTCCACAGGAAATCACAGTGGTACATAAATAAGTTGGTTTCAGGACAGGTACAGCATGCATATATTGGTGAGCGGCAAATAACATAACATAGGTTAAAATGTGGATTTAGCATACTTGTTTGGCATACAATACTATCCTCTTGGAGGGTTATTTGATAAGTAGTGTTCCACCATCATGCCTTGCCACCTACGTTTGCATCTTCTCTAGCTGTGCTGTCCTTTTTTTATGATACTCTAACATAAGCGTGACAGTTCGTTTTTTTATCTTGAACATAGGGAAAAAAGGGGGGTGGGGGGTTGAGTTCATGCAACATAGTATTTGACAGCGTTTCAGTTAACATACATCATTTAGTTTGACTACCTTGGTCTTCTTGACCTCTCAACAGCTCTGCTCTGTTGACGTTTATCGCAACTTATACAGATATCCAGCATCCCCAGTCCTTTGAAAATTCTAGTTTTTGTTTAACGACTGCCACAGAGGGAGTTGTTTTACTTTTCCAATGCAGCGGTACATTGACTTTGGATAGTGTCAGTATGTTTATGATCACTTTTTTGTGGGGGTGTCCCACCAATACGGGCAGCATGTGTAGGAGGTAGTGTTCTGGCCTACGTGCTAGTCTCACTTGTGTTTTGGTTAGGATTATTGATTCTACTTGTTCCCAATAGTTTTGTAAGTCTGGTCATTCCCAGAACATGTGTAGCATTGTTTCTACCCCTCTGTTGCACCTCCAGCAGATCTCGGAAGTCCCTGGGTACATGCGGGCTAGTCTGTGCGGTACTAAATACCATCTCATAGCTATCTTACAGTATGCCTCCCACAGCGAAAGGCTTCTGGAGGCTTTTTTTTTTTTTTTGTCATTGCCATGGCTTCGTGCCATTGTTCTATGGGGAACTTCATACTCCATTCCTTCTACCACTGAGACATGTCTGATAGTTTTGCATGAGCCGGACTCCCCAGGATAGCATTGTAGCAGAGTGAGAGGGGCTTCGACTGGTTCGGAGAGAGCATTAGCGGGAGGGGCATCACATTGTTGCAAATTAGTGTTCGTCGGTTAGTCAATATGTTATTTACTCTGAAATGTAAGAATAGGTCTCTTGGTGTCAGGGAATATTGTAATTGGAGAGCCGGGAAGGTTCTCATATCATCCCCCTCTAACAGGTCCCACACCTTGAGTGCCCCCTTCTCTGTCCAAGTTTTGATCGCCAAGTCCGGTGAGCGAGTTGCTAGGGATTCTACCGGGGCCGCCTTAAGTAGTTCCTTAGTGGATAATATACTTGGGCTCCAGGTTACCCAGGAGGAGAGCAAAAAGTCAGTGCAATGTAGCTGCCTTCTTGTTCTTCGTGCTAACCCATAGGGAGTGAGTTATATCGTATGGACGTAAGCATGCGTTTTCTCATGACAACCAGACAGGGCTTTGTTGTGCCTGTGGAGCTTTGAGGAGTCTTATACCCTGCGCTAGTATTGATGCTCTGTAATATGCTTTTATGTCAGGTAGTCCTAGACCAGCTTTCGTGTATGGGAGCCCCAGTTTATGACATGCAATTCTGGGAGGCTTTTTCTTCCAGACGTGTGCATTAATTGTGGATTGGAATCTATTCACTAATTTGGTAATGGTAGGGTAGTGTACGAAAGAGATATAGAATCAATTTTTTTTTTTTTTTGCTCCAATCAAAGTTGAATTTGATCTCTAGGTGTGTGATTGTAGCTCGTGGTAGGTTAATGGGTAATGCTTGGGTCTTGGCAGAGTTGGTTTTTATAGTAGGACACCATCCCGTATTGTCCCAGTAGGCCTACCAAATGTGGGATAGAGGATTTTGTCGTCTGCAAAGAGGGCTATTTTTTTTTTTTTTTTTTTTGGTCCCTCAGATGTGTCTAGGACTGTTATCTCTGGGTTTTGTTTCATGAGGCGCAGGAGGGGCTCTAAACATAGTATGAAAATGAGTGGTGACAGTGGGCAGCCCTGTCTCATCCCGTTTTGGATGGTGAAGGGTTTGGATAGAAAGCCTGTGCTAAATACTTTGGCTGACGGGTCCCGATAGAGAGCTTTAATGCTAATTCGGAACGAGGATGGGAATCCCATCCTGGATAGGGTTTGTTCTATGTATCCCCAGTGTAATCGATCAAATTCTTTTTCCGCGTCAAGCGCCATTATAAGACACTCTCCTGTGAGGAGCGGTTTGCCCAATCTATGAGGTTAACAAAATCCCTTGTGTTATCCCCCACCTGTCTCCCGGGTACAAGTAATAGCGACTTAATACGTCCTGCAATTAATTTAGCAAATAGCTTTAGGTCCGCATTTAGAAGGGAAATAGGCCAAAGGTTTGCGCAGACAGTTGGGGATTTATTGGGTTTAGGGAGCGTCACTATGAATGCGTCCAGCATTTCCCTGGGGAGATACCCTGATTGTTTGAGTTGAATAGTTGTGTGAGATGTGGGGTGAGTTCGTCGGCAACTAGTAGTAGTAGTTGGATAGGCCATCTGGGCCAGGGGCTTTGTGTGTAGGTAAGGATTGTATTGCCTTCTTAACCTCGTCTTCTGTAAATGGTCTCTGAAGATGCATGCCCTGGTCGTCTGTCAAGCAAGGTTTTTCCGAGTCTAGGAACTGTTATTTCCTCATTGGTGGATTGTTGGGTCTCTGTGTAGTTGATATAGTGTTTCGTAGTAATCAGCTAGTGTGTTCACTATGTCCTGGCGGTTGTACAGTTTGTCCCCGTCTTTAGATGATATGTACGGGATTTTTGTTTTGAAGATGTCGTTGTTTAAGTTTTTTTAGCTAATAATTTACCTGCTTTGTTCCCCGCTATGTAATAGTTTTGTATGAGATATCTCATATGTTTCTCAGTGTCCTGTAGTTGAATTGAGTGCAGTTCTGCCTTAAGTCTCCCCAGTTTGTCGTGGCGTGCTGTAGTTTGGTTTTGTTTGTGTAGATTCTCCATGACGGAGATTTCTTGTTCAAGGTTATTTTGAACGTGTTTGTGAGCTTTCTTTACTGAGGAACCTAATTGTATGAAGTTCCCTCTCATTACTGCTTTATGCGCAGTCCATTGGGTAGTGATTGGAGTTGTGCACTGAGCGTGGTCTGTGAAGTATTGTGTGAGTCGCTCTGCTATTGTTGCTAGGGTTTTTGGGTTATCTAGTGTGGCTTCGTTGAGGCGCCAGGCGCTTCTACCTCTGGCTGGGTGGGGCGTCTTCATATTGATTATTACCGGAGCATGCTCCGACCAAGTGATGGGGCCTATATGTGCTTGTTTTACATGTGGAAGCATTCTGCTATCTGTGAGGCATAGGTCTATTCTAGAGTAAGTCCGGTGGACTTGAATAATATGTATAATCTCTAGTACTGGGGTGAGTGCTGCGCCAGACATCGTAATAGTCATATGTATGGATTAGGTTGGCCAAATGGGCTCCCAGAGAGCGGGACACCTTTTTCGGTGTTCTATGTTGGGATCTGCTGATGTCTAGGTGTGGTTCGTGTGTGCAGTTAAAATCCCCGCAGATTATGGTGTGGCCCATTTTCATCTGGTCTATTTTCCTGAAAGCCTTGTTTATGAATGATTTTTTTTTTTGTGTGCCTTTCGGTGCGTATAGCGAAATTGCTGTCATTTGGATACCGTTCAAAGTTCCTAATACTATCAATAGTCTCCCATCCTTACTTGCGTGCTCCTTGGACATTGTAAAAACCCAGTCATTATGAAAGTATATTGAGACCCCCCTCGTTTTGGTGTGGGTTTGTGCGCGATAGGCTTGGGAGTATCTTTTAAAGTGAAATTTGGGGGTATTACTGTCACAAAAGTGAGTTTCCAGTAGACAGACAGTGGTTAATTTCGCTTTGGTGACTTCGCTTATCAGTAACCTGCGTTTGTGGGGATTATTGAGGCCGTTACCCTTACAGTTTTCTCTATGAATGTTATCATCCATTGTCATGGGTATAGTTCTTAATAGGTTTGTTCGCTGACCTTCCTAGGATACTGATGAGAGCCGTGAACTCAGGGGAAAATGAAAATACATAAAACAATCCAAACATTTTCAACATGAAGCATAAACTCATGTATATACAGAGTGCCCTGGACGTAACTGGCGCTCTACGTGGACGGGATGCAAGCCCTGGCATATTACTGGCTTGCGCTCACCTCCTTGCGGGTTGCCGATCAGTGCTACCCGATCGACCCGAATATTATGGTGTATGACCAGTTTCAGTTCCACCTCAGTTATAGGTGAGGTTATCGATTTTCGTCTTTTTTTTTTTTTTTTTCACACTACTGGGTTCGACTAATCTTTTCTTTGTCACAACTATTAGCATTTTGCCTCCTGACGGGAAGAGGTATCCCATAAGCTTCCCTCGTGTTATGCTTTGAGCCCGTATTCACTTTGTGCATGTTGCTAAGCTGGGACAATACCCTTTACCCCTGTTAGGTTACTTGATTAACTCGGACCTTACTATCTTAGTTCGATACCATCTAATTGCTAACATTTAGCTTGGGAACCTGATTGTAACTCATTACGTTTCATAACCTTTTCATAAACCTATATTGCTTCATACCATAACGTGGTTTGAACAGTAAAGGATATGGTGTTTGCATTTACGACCACTTCACTGGTTTCTCTTCAGAGACCCAAGTGAACCAGTCCCGTTTAGATGCACGGGATCAGCCCGCCATCTGCCATTCTTCGTGCAGGCGCTTCAGTGGAGTGGCTGTTCGGTCCCTTGAATCTTGGTACGGGAACAGTCCCCATTCTTTAAGTGGGCGCATTCCCACTTCTGGTTCATTAGCCATGTGATTATTTATTTATTTTTCATTCCGCCAGATGAGCTTTGTGGGGTATACCCACCTGTACTGTATTTGGCTGTTTCTCAGTGTCTTCGTTACTGTAATGAACACTCTGTGTCTTGCCATCGTTAGGGCTGAGAGGTCCGCAAAGAGCTGGACGTTCGCATAGGGCTCAGGCAACGTGGTGATTTTCCTTGCCGCAATTAGCAGTGCCTCCGTGGTTTTGTAATAATGGAATCTTGCCACTGCATCTCTTGGGATGTCGCGTGACAACCTCTGTGGTTTCGGCAAGCGGTGGGCCCTATCCATGAGCCATTCTCCGTCCTTTTGTCTGGCAGTAGAGTTTTACATAAATTTACCAAATAGTCATACAGGGCGTCTGTTGCTACCGTTTCTGGTATTCCTCTAAAACGTACATTATTGGTCCTCCATGTCCGACACTTTGCTCTTCAGTTGTTGATGTTCTTCCGTGAGATTTTGTACAGTATCCACTAGCTCATTGTGTTCAGTGCACAGTTCCTTCGTACGGGCCTCCAGGCTATTTGTACTTTCTCCGAGATCAGATATGTCTCGTTTTATTTCATTGGTCACTTGTTTGAGGCCTGCCTGTAGGGAGACTCTGAACTCCTGGAGCATTAAATACAGCCTTTTCTCCGTCACCGGAGCGTCTGTGTACCGAGTGGCCTCTTGTTTGGAGTCTGAAACAGCATCCAAGGCTTGTGAGAGTTGCAGGCCGTCGCCGCCATCTTGGATGGGCCGCGTGCGATCTCCGCGGTCACGTTTAGGTAAACTGAGTTGATCCATGAGTTTGGTTTGTTTAACAGGTGCCATAGTGTGGTCTGCTATGTAGGGGGTATTTTGTGGGTATTTTGGGTGGGATTTGCTGCGATTTACCAGGCTAACGGGTCAATTAGGCCGGGAGCACTCACTCCATGCATCATCTCTCCTTGGCAGTTGGACACGCCCCCTCCGAATCGCAATACTTTTAATGGTTCACGCAGTTTCCATTCTGTAATCCTGATCTATGATTTCTAGATTTAAACATTATAAATACAATAATAAAGCTTGAACATCAAAAATAATTAAAATAATACTTTGAAATATATTTCAAATTCAAAATAAACACAACGGCAATAAATAACATGAATACCATTTTAGGACACTTGCAAATATATTTATTCCATGAGAGAGTGTCTGTTGATAGTGACTAGAAGAAGGTCTCTGGAGTTAACGCACTGTATTCTTAAAACCTGGAAATATCTTGCATACATGATCATAGCTTTATTAGAAAAAAAAAAAATATATATTTTTTTAATTAAATTTGTATATTGTGAAAACAGTGCTGAGCCAAACACTTGGAGCTATACCTCCAAATTCTAACTAGAGCTGTCACAGAAATTGATTGTATTAATAACATTATGTGCCATGATACATTAACCTGACCACATACATCTGTGACAAACGCTCCATCCCACGGACTCCTGAAGGAGCGTAGAAGCCGGCCTCCTGTCCACCAACTATGGTCCAGGTCTGGGATACCATTTGGAAGTTACTCTGACCAACCGCCATTAACCGCTTTCCCTGGGTACCCATGGTTCGGCACTTTCCCTTCATTCGAATAGAACCGAACGCTAGCTCCCTGGCAGCCATTGCAAGAACCAAACTTGTGAATCGTTCTCAGCAGTACTTAGCCGCGACTGCTAAATAACTAATTTCGGAATGAGGACTTTGTGGGTTCCCGGTCACCTCAACGGGACTTGGCCACAAATGTTATGGAACTGTTTTCTGCATGAGGTGACCGTGCGGTTCCTGGACAACTTGGTTCGCGGTTTTGAACCACTTCGCCAGAAGAGTGAAGGTGCCTGAGACTAAGGGGGGAACAAAGGCTACCTAAGAATCAGGCAGAGCACCCCCTATTGCAGCCGCAGGAGCTCCTGAAAGTTGACCGGCAAAAGCACAAATGCCCTGGAACTATTTTGGGCATAGGACCACGTGTGCCGCCGGTCAGAACTTTAACACGGTGTTTCCCCTACACTGCATGGATCTAAGCGCTATTGGAGAACATGGGTGCTCAGATCCAGGCTATTTAGGGATGTATTATTTGTGGGGTTATTTTATGTTTATGTTCTAGGGTACTTTTGTGTTTGGCTCTCTGTTCCTGAAAGATCATGAGCTTACCCGTCTTTAACACAACTATCTCCCCGGCCCAGAGATTCCTGGGAAGGCCTGGTGAAGACAATGGAGACCCCCTGCTGGGATCTGTGCATAAAAGGCAGTGTTTGTCTCATTAAAATCAGTTGTACTCCCAGAACTATGTGTCGTCTACTTACTGGGAGGGGGAAGGGCTAATCACTGCTCAGCACCTGGCTGCAGCTCGTGGAGGAAAGTCCTTGTAAGGCCCAGAGCTTCCAGGACTGTGTCGTCCAGTCCTTGGCAGGGAGTAGAGCTAGTCCCCTATCCTGTCCCAGGACAGAGAGGCTCCAGGAAGACCCCAATCAAGCCGTGGCGACTGGGGCAGAAGCACTGAGGTTTTCTCCTGTTCCAGCTAGGAAGCGGTCCTTGGCGGAGGTACCCAGCCGTGGTACAGGGTTCTCCGCCAAAACATCCTTACATATAACTGAGCAACCTGTTGAACTAATGAGAAATAAATATAAATCTGTGTACTTCATAAAATGAACACTTGAGGTCACTATCTGACTGCTTTACTGTGCAGCAACTAAATTTTACTAGAAAGCTGATATTTTAGCCTAAATGGGCCAAGGCACAGTATTGTGGGCAGTCTTGTAGTTGGTACTATCTTTATGAAACATTGCTCCAATGCAGTTTTAAATGAGTCTGATAGTCTCTGCATGCTGGTATATGGGGGGATAATATCCAGGAGTATGGGAACTCCATAAAACCTCTTCCGACTCCCCCTGTAGCAGTTGCTCTCATGGATAGATTGAGTAGCGTCCGCCTGCTTAAAGAATGGGGACTGTTCCCGCACCAAGATTCAAGGGACTGAACAGCCACTCCACGAAGCGCCTGCACGAAGAATGGCAGATGGCGGGCTGATCCCGCGCATCTAAACGGGACTGGTTCACTTGGGTCTCTGAAGAGAAACCAGTGAAGTGGTCGTAAATGCAAACACCATATCCTTTACTGTTCAAACCACGTTATGGTATGAAGCGATATATGTTTATGAAAATGTTATGAAACGTAATGAGTTACAATCAGGTTCCCAATAGCAGCTACTATTTCTTTTTTTAAAAGTAGTGTTTGTGTAAACATATATTTTTTTTTTTTTTTTAAACTGCTTTCAAAGTATTATTCTAGGCACCATAACAACTTTGCATGATTGCAAATTGTATGGTGCCTAGTGCTCCCAGCATCCTCTCTATTTTGAGAATGGACTACTGTACTGCAGCAATCTGTACATATCACTACTGTTGTAAGTCTTCCCATCACAGCCATCAACACAGCAGCTGTACTAAGAGAGTTTAAGAGTAATGGGAGTTGAAGAAATTACCTATAATTCTTGTCCTTTCTGATATGCTAGGAGAGAGGCTGATGAGACTCTCTCCCCAACTCCTCTGCCAACATATTACTAAAATGAGAGGGTGGGATGAAGGACAGAACCATGATTGTCTCATCAAGCTTGGGCACACTGGGATAAGTGCTGTCCTAAGATTAAAGGTACCCCAACTCTAGCACTAAGCCAAATGTAATATGGAAGGCTCATACACTGACCAGCCACAACATTAAAACCACATTGTCTAGGCTCCCCCACATGCTGCCAAAACAGTTCTGATGCATTGAGGCCAGGACTCCACAAGACCTCTGAACGTGTCCTGTAGTATCTGGCACCAATATAGCAACAGATCCTTTAAGTCCAGAAAGTTGCGAGGTGGGGCCCCCATGGATTGGGTTGTTACAGCTCATCCCACAGATGCTGAAGCAGATTGTGATTTAGGGGATTTTGAGGACAAGGCAACACCTTGAACTCTTTGTTATGTTCCTCAAACCATTCCTTAACAATTTTTGCAATGTGACACGGTAAATTATTCTGCACTGCCAGCAAGCAACACCGCTGCCATGAAGGGGTAAGTACATGCTCTGCAACAATCTCTAGGTAGGTGGTACATCTCAATACCAGAACCACAGATTTACAACATTGCCCAGGGCATAACACAGAGTCTGTTGCCTGCCTTCTTCCCATAGTGCATCCCGATGGCATTTCTTCCCCAGTTAAATGCACACATCCGGCCATACACCTGACTAAAAGAAAATCTGATTCATCAGACCAGGCAACCTTCTTTCAGTGTTGGACAGAGGTGATCATGGGCATTCTGACTGGCCTGTGGCTGTGAAAACCAATGGTTGTCGGTAATGTGTGCAATTATTTAATAGAATTAAACCAGAATCCACAAGTTCACTTATAGAGAGTACTGTGCATATGTATCCTCTCCTTAGATTTTTCTATATAGCAATATAACAATAATATCACCCCTCAAGAATGGATTAGGTGAAGGACTGGTATGGACTCTCCAGAACCTTAAATGATAACTCTTCCATGCCTTCATACTCAGTGAAAATATTTGCCAACTCGACTATTTGTCCACTTTACATTTTATGACCAGTTCTTGACCCCAATTAAGTCAGCCAAACAAGTGGCAAAGGAAAAGATTTAAGTGTTGAGGATTCCATCCACAGTAGGGGGGAGATATGTCCAAACTTGATGATCTTTCCTGTGTGGATAGAATTGCTCCTTATTCGTGGTCAGGATTCATGTCACAGATCCTGCTGTTCAAACTTCTGTTTATTTCTCCACCACAAGTTGCCCTTTAATCTGCTCGGGAGCTTTTTGTTTTTCCCTATTAAACTGTTCCATAGACACTAGTGGAAAATGAGCAACGCTGTAACCCAGAGTCCAATTAATGTTCATAGGTGTATGGAAACAGGATAATGTCTACTTCCATTACTTAATAATTCCGACCTCCTTCTACCCAATATCTCTGATCGTGACCCAGTGTAATGATGGAAAGAACTGGTGGCTGGTATGAAATATAGAAAATAAAAGTTGCATTTCAGACAATCCTATTCAGTCTTTAGTTTGCATGAATTTCATGGATGTATAATCTGACCCAAAGTGGCTTCTCAGCCAGATTTAAAAAGTGACCTTTTCTCAAAAGCATCAATATGCATTATTTAGAAGATGAGGTGTTAACTCTGGTTTCTGGACAGCGTGAGGGGATTTAGCAGGAAGTGTTAGGAGTAATCCTACTGCCAAACATTCAGTATTGCGCAAGGAATGCCCCTTAAGATTGGATACATAATTGCAATGAGACTAAAAGGAAATTGTATACTATGTTCAAATTTCAAATCAACCACAAACAAAACTACACTTGTTTATCTGTGTGTAAGCCAACGTGTGGTTTACTTAGGAAAATGTCTTCTGAGAGGCGACGTTGTTAGCCTTTTTAGGTTTTTTGTGTTTCCGGTGAAGAGAACAGCTGCTTGCCCAGGACTGGCTAACTCCACATCCTGTCTGACCATCCAGACACTGCATTGCTAATTAAAGCACTTGTTGTTTGAATAGATTGCTGCCGGTGCCTTGGGGAAGCATTCGATGACATGCCTCCCCCGGTGTAATTTGCTGCTCTTTGTATGTGGCTGCGAATATTATACTTTTTATAAATGGTTTAATACACACAATTCCATTACAAAGTAATATCAAGATAACCGGTCATCTGTTCACAGCAGCTGTCCTCTAATCAAATATAAAGCATTTAAGGAGTAAAGTCTAGCATGGACTTGTCATCTGCTAATGTGTGGTAGTTGATGGCATTCGGTAAATTGTATAATTTTATCTTTATAGTGCAATTTGGATCAGGGTAGTTTGTGTGTGCATCTCTGTACTCCCACAACGCAAAGTGTGGCATCTCAAAGTGTCCTGGGCTACCAATGTGCCACCTACTGTATAGCTGATCCATTTCTTTTAGTTGTCTCACAGTTTCCTCCTGGAAGCAGGAACATGTTTGGTGTTATGTTTATAGGACCACTATAGTGCCAGGAAAAAAACTACTTTTCCTGGCACTATAGGGTCATTAGGCCCCCCCTCCCGCTGGGCTGTAGGGGTTAAAACCGTTTCAGCCACTTACCTTTCGCCAGCGCCAGGCTCCCTCAGTGCTGGAGAACTCTGCTCCATTTGCCGATGTCGGCTCCGAATGCGCGCAAGAGCCGCGTGCGCATTCAAATCGCCCATAGGAAAACAGCCAATGCTTTCCTATGGATGTCCACCGTCTTCTCACTGTGATTTTCAGTGAGAATCGTGGAAACGGCCCCTAGAAGCTGGATTAACCCTCTGAAACGGTTTTCAGCTGCAGGGTTAAAACAAGATGGACCTGGAACCCAGACCACTTGATTGAGCTGGAGTGGTCTGAGTGACTTTAAGAGGGGTTTTTTTTTTTTTTTTTTTTTTTTAAATCGCCAGGCATCAGACATTTTGATAGAATCCGAGCAACTTAATGTGATAATGTGGGTTGTGCTAATTTGCCTATTTTGGGGCCTGTTTGGTTGTTGTAATGTGGCTGCTCTGCTCAGGGCCAGATTAAGAACTCAGTGGGCCTGGTGCTGACAATTATGATGGGCCTAATTAACGAATCTTATCGACCAAAAACATTTAAAACAGTTCTACCTCTCAAGCGTCATGTATCTGATGGAGATGGTGTTGGAGGGAAACTCAAAGGTTGCAGCTATAAGAAAACACATACTCTATGCTAATCTCTCTAAAATTTATGCTTTCATCTTTCAAGTGAATCCATACGCCCTAACAGCAGTGTCCAGTGAAGCAGGAAATCAATGGGCGGGGTAAAAGGGTGGGCCACTGACGCGAATCACGTGACCAGAACTGCCAAAAGGGGAAAACATGCCCAAAAAGGGGCATGTCTGTCCAAAGAATTGGAAGGCCAGCCTGGCATCAGTGTCCCATTGTATCTGTGTCAGTGTCCCCATGTTGCCCAGTCCCCTAGTCTCCCAGTGTCTGTGTCCCCATGTCTCAGTGTGTCTCGTGTCACTAGGATACTAGAGGACATGGGGACACAGACATTTGGGGACACTGGGAGAAATGGGGGACACTAAGACACTAGGGACACTGAGAGACATGGGAACACAGACACTGGAAGACTAGGGGACACATGGGATACTGAGACACTAGGGACACTGACTGGGAGACATGGGGACACTGTGTCCCTAGTGTCTCAGACACAGTTTGGGGACACTGAGAGACATGGGGACACTAGGGACATATGGACACTGGGAGCCATGGGGACACGGACACTGGCTGGGAAACATGGGGACACTGGGAGAAAAGGAGACTGTCCCAATGTGTATCCTAATGTCCCTGTGTCTCACAGCATCCCCACATGTCTCAGCATCCTCATGTGTCTGTGTCCCCTATTGTCTGGATGTTTCCCAGTGTCTCATTGTCCCCATGTGTCCCTTTTTTGTCTATGTTACCATGTCTCCCTGCTACCTTTCCCCTCATCCCTCACTTCCCGCTGTAGTCTGTTTCTGCAGGCTGGGAGCTGCTGTGTGAACTCTCTGTGCTGTGTAGCTGAACCCCTGCGGATTAGTGAGTAGAGAGAGGCAGGGAGGGATATGCTGTAACTTTCTATCTCTGCCCCTCTCCATACACAGTGACCCCTACTGGCTTGTGCTGGTATTACAGGGTAATATCCATTTATACTGAGAAAAATATCTGCATTTGTATTGCCGGTATTACTGCTATATCGGCACGGCCAGGCAGCCTCAAATACCGTCTGTGCCGGTAAAATACCAGTCAGGTGGCAAACCTAAGAGGTAGGTGTGTGTGTGTGTGTGTGTGTGTGTGTGTGTAAAAAATAATTAAATTTTAAAATGGGCCTGGAGCTGCAGCTCCATCAGCCCCAATGTTAATCTGGCCCTGGCTATGCTCCTCACAAATAGATTGCACTTTCACTCCGCACAGGTAAGCACGGACTGTTTGGAGGAGGAAAAAATGACACATCTTTCCTGAGTGAGTCTCTGGCACCAGCAACACACACACACACTCTGATTCTAACTTTTTGAAGTTCACTGATGTGTTAGCGGAAGTGTGTAAACTGTAAAGTGGGGATATGACACTTTATTGCCACCATTCCATTTCACACTGCGTGGCAAAACAGTGGTGTCTTCGGTATATTTGTATAAGGTCTGAGCAGTTATTACTAGACCCCTTGGAGGAGAAAAATAATAGGAAGAGAGACTAAAGTTGAGAAGAGCGGAAACAGTAGTGGTTTAATAAAAGACGGGACGCTGAGGATAAGGTGAAAGGAAGTTGAAAATGGGGGAGATATTTGATGATTTCCAGTTTAATAGTTGGGTAAAAAGTTATAAAACACCGTATAGATAAAAGGAATTGTATTGTGAATTAACACTTTTTTGCAATTGCCCCCTGGGCTAAAGATTGCCTGGGCTTCCCTTTTTATTAAATTGCCTTTCTGGCTGAAAAGCTATGATTTTTGCCCAGGCAATTTTTTTAGAAATGTGGATTGGAAGTCGAAGTGTGCTGTGTGTGTGCTTTCATAGCCTTTGCAAGGTATTTTGATTTTGTTGTGGGAGTGTTTTTCTAAGTTTGTTCATCCCTAGGCTTACTGTCTGGATTCATGGGTTTAAAAGTCTCTATTCCATTTAATGCATAATAAGGATTGCACATCCATTTTTTAATAATGTATTAAAAGGAGTAACATTTGAATAATTTATTCAAAAATGGAAACTGATCATATATTTCACATACTGATGTTTTATTGTCATGCAAGTGATCTTTACATGACAAAAAAAGAGGACGCAACCCATGTATCTGCCAAAAGAATATATTTGGTTTTATCTGGGAATATGTATGCCTCTAACTTAGTGGAATTATTTAAAAATTCTTCTTGTATAAAAAAATGTATTATTTTTTCCAGATATATTTTCTATGAATAGCTTTGTGCACAATAGGGACTGCCCTCGCTTATCCCTGGAGAAATAGGTGAGCTGTGAACTGCGCATAGTGCCGAGAACCTATCTTCGGATAAACCAATAACAAGCGTGATATGCCTGCTATCCATTTATTGCACAGTACCTATCACACTGTGTGGGAATATCTCAATCTCCTGTTGCAGTAATAATATATATTGTGAAATTCTACCTAAACTAATCCTTTAGCAAGTACAGTACTTGCTTAGACATGGTGTTTCCCATGAGCATACAATCTGGAACTCTGCTTATCTTAACCTATTTTAGTCCTAGTTAACTCATCTTTTTTTCAGTATCTGTTGCATGTGGATAAAACTTACCGGTACTAATTTGTATTGAATAAACATGGCCACAAATTATGCATCTCGTGATTTCAGGCTTTTGTTACAGATGCAAGGATAAATATGGCAGTGATGAGTCTTGGGAAGTAGAGCTCGACCGATATTGATTTTTTTATTTATTTATTTTTTTTGGTTTTTTTTTACCAATAATCTGTGAACTTTCAGGCCGATAGCCGATAATTTACTGATTTTCTGTACATTACCATTTTGAAAAAATAAAGTGGGTGCAGTGTGTGTGTGTGTGTGTGTATAATGAATGCAGTTTGTGTAGGTGTGTGTAAAATGGGGGGCATTTTTTATTATTTACAGTAAATATTCAAATTTTTAACATTTTGTTTTATCCTGGCACCCCCCTCCCCCATGGTTCTTACTTAACCAGGGAGGGGGGGATATGGCAACACTATTACTTACATTCCCAGCAGCTCCTCTGCCGAACTCATTGCGGCCAGTGTGCTGCCCGGAGTGTTGCCATGGTAACCCGTGGCAACGCTCTGTTGGCCGCAGGACTCAAGAGTTAGAAAGGGGAGATGAAGGGAGCCGCTGGGAAGGTAAGTAAGAGTGTGCTGCGGGCCCCCAGGACCTTGATGGTGACCCTGGTCTGCATTATCGGTAATATCGGTATCTTTATTTGCTGATACCAATATTGTTGATAATATCGGTCAGACCGATAATCGGTCGATCCCTATTAGGATGCTATTTATTCAGATTGTATGCTGTGATCTACATTCATTTTACCGTTATCATTGCTAAAGCAGTGTTTATGGCCATCTGTTGGCAAGTCAGACCGTACTGAGTCTTTGTTTTTAATATTTACCTCCCAGCGTTGCTCCTGATTATCTCCGACCAAGGTTGAGTTTCGAGAACATATTGTTTTTAACTTGATTTTTCCACCAGAGGGATTCATGTGACTTTTTTCTTTTATTTTTTTGGACTCTGCCCAGACACATTTTTATGTGAATTGTTTTACGATTTCTTTCCATTGCAACAAACCAATAAAGAATAATAATAAAAAAAAAAAAAAACTAATTTGGGATGAATGTCCGATCATTCATAGGAAAAAAAGTTGAACAAGTAAGCTGAGTCATAAACCCGTTCATGGTTCTTCACACACTACAGAATATCTACTAGAAATGTTCTTTTTCATTTACGATGAGTAAGCACAATTGTTAATTCTTCTTAATTTGGATCAGTAGTAGTGGTTGTACTTGATATCTGAAGTGCTTTAGATTCTGTAAGACTATCTAGATCAGGTAATACGACCGGTCACTATTCAGCCAGAAGGTCCATATTGTGAGTCTCTCCCCACACAAACATTCATTATTATTATTTTTTTATTTTTTATTTTTTTTTTATAGATTTAATTAGAAATCAGCACCTTTATAAATTACTGCTGAAACCCCTGATTGACTTATCCTTCCTCTTTCTTTAGCTACACTGAACTAATGGAAGCAGCAGACATTGAGAAATGTGCAGATTAAAAGGTCTGTGCATGCCTAGACCAGAGAGGGTTTTCAGTGAGCAGCATTGGATGGGTCAGTCCGCCAACACGGGATGAACATCTGCCGGGAAGGAAGGAAAGGGCTTGCAGTACAGGGATGTAGAATTATATTGCTTTATGGGGCACACACACATCCTACACTACCAGCAAACACACAGCCTGGACACACCAAAATCCTTTCACATACAGCCAGCACACACCATGAGCGCTTCACATACAGCCAGCAAACACCACACATACAGATTGCACAGTAAGCACAACACACTCTTAAAACAAAATCAGCACAATGGTCTGGATTAATTAAGGGGCTGTTAGAGCTGACGCTCCAGGCCCAACCCATGGAATTTCTTTCTTTTTTTTTTAACTACTCTTCACACGTTCATGCTTTTGTGCTGAGGGAATTAAAGGGACACTATAGTGACTGTAACATCTACAACTTAATGTAGTTGTTCTGGTGAGTTTTTAGTCAGTCCTTGCAGGTTTTTTGTTGTAAACACTGGCTTTTCAGAGAAAAGGCATTGGATACATTGTACCCTAAGGACATCTCCTGTGGCCAGATAGTTGAAAATTGAAGACTTTGGACACAGTCAAAATAAGTTAAGTACCCCTGCATGACCAGAACTGGTCATTTTATATTAAGTAAATTTCTTTATCAATAAAGTATTTAAAAGGATGCAGAAAAATGAAAATCTCCATGATCATCTTCCAATGCTGTCTGCTGAAACAGTATCTGGCTGAGCATTGTTGGCCAACTCCTGGTCTTCCTTTTAGGAAAGAGATTTGTTGAGCTTGCATTTATTATAGTATAGAAGTAAACACTTGATGGTTTTCTTATTCAAGGGACACACTAGGCACCATCACCACTTCATCTCTTTGAATTGGTTATGGTGCCTTAATTTGCATATTCTCCACTTTAGATAAGTCAATTATCAGGGGAAAATGTCAATGCTATAATATAGAGCAGGAAAAAGCAGTGGGATTGGCAAATAGTTGGACCGCACCATTGAGAGATGTACCAGCTGGCTTCGATAAGAAATAAACTTAATATAAGGGTAAAGAAAGAAAGATAAAATCAGCCAGCAACAAGAAAAGGGGAATGGTGGGGTGGGAAAGGAAGGGAACTGGGGTATCAGTGTGTCGAATATCACAGCCAACCTGTTTTATATAAACCTGTTGATTGATGTCCACATGTGAATTTGTAAAATCTACTAGCTTTTGTTTTACGAAGTATACTTCTATAATTTTAATATTTTCACACAAATATATATACTTTTTCCTCAAGTAATGCCTTTAATTCCCCCATGTGAATGATTGACTAACTCAATGATAAAAGTCGTTGTCATCTCTCCCTTATAATACTGCTGAATCACCTAATGAAGGTTTGCTCAGATTTTTTGGGAAGAGGACAATCGCAGCGTCACAAAGGCAGCTCATACCTCACGTTAACACGGATCCCACATTGCATTAATGAAACCAGCCAAGCAGTACAGGCTGCCGCTGTGTCTGAGTCAGCAAGTGGGTTGTTTTCTGCGATCCAAACTAAAATGCTGAAACAATGTACGCTTTTATAACTGCATGAGTACTTGGTTTAAAAATAGGCACTGGGGCCTTTTAAAATCTAACAGTAGGGAAAATATCTCACAAAGCCAAGTGGTTATTTCAAAAGAGCACTTTACATTCAGTGTTCTTTTTTGTAGCATACACACTGAGATAAAAATGCAGATGGATAAATATCTTCCGTCCTACCAATTTCTAAGTGATCTAGACTTTTAACTCTCAAGTACCAGAGCGTTTATATTAAACACTGCGAAGTATTGCAATAAATCCCACACTAACAGAGTTTAAAGGAACCCTATAGTCACCAAAACAATATTGGCTTAAAGGGACACTCCAGGCACCCAGACCACTTCTGCCTTTTGGAGTGGTCTGGGTGCCAACTCCCATCACCCTTAACCCTGCAAGTGGTGTTATTGCATTTTTTTTTATAAACTTCAATAATTACCTTGCAGGGTTAAGTCCTCCTCTAGTGGCTGTCTACCAGCCAGCAGTTTTGGTGTATAGATCATGCCCCTGCAGTCTCTAACATTGAGAGAGTTTTTTTTTACCGTAATATAAAAAGCATACGAAAACAGAAGCAGAAGAATCACATGAATAAAGAAATGAGCGCAGGACTTTAAAAAAAAAAAAAAAAGTTAATCCATGTGCTCAAACTCCCACTACTCTTGGGCGGCAGCAGTGGCTAGAGTACACATCAGCCAAAATACATAGTACAAAATTTTAAAAAAGTTACCTGCGCTCCCAAAGTCCCATGCATGTTTGAATACCAGGACGTTTTTAATCCAGTAGCCCTTGAAGTGTGAGCTCACCTGCCCCATCAGGGCAAACCTTTTAGGTGAGTCCTACACTAACAATTCAGCTTGCTGCTTTCCGCTAAAAGGCAAAATCTTATTGACAGAATGGGGTATTTGTATGAATACCTACATACTTATTAACCTTTAATCGGACAATTGTCTACTGGTCACTGGGTGCATGGCATATACATTACACATAATTAATGTTGGCTTACTACGCTGGTAAATGACATTCTGTTTACTATAACCGGTCATTTGCCACCGGGGACACTTATATCTTGGAAGAATAATATGGCTACATATGTTATTTACCTTTACAGCAGACTGTGTGATATCATCTCCGTTCTAACTGGAAATACCAGCTGTGAGTCTCATGTGTCAATAATGTGTCATGATAATCCGTTTCTCGGCTTCGCTATTAACTTCAACAACAATGAGATTAGTGCGGTTCATGTTTTTCCATCGGATTCTTTTTGGTATTCAGTGCCAGCATTTACTTTCTTAAGGTATATTTGTAACCTGCTAAGCTGTATTTATACTGTGTCACTCAGCGCTCACCCACCATTCTTCCATCTAGCCGTAACAATGTCTCATTGTGTTTCTGAGAAGGCACAATCAGGGCATTTCATGCAAATCCTATTCAATCCTTTCTGAGTTAGAGAAAAATAGATTAATTTTTTCTCCCTCATTATCAGTGACCATCTATTGGTCAGCATGTGTGTAAACGTCTACACCTTTTTCTCGGTTTTGACAGAAATGAAAGGAAAACCATTTTTGCTCTTTCTTTGAAATAGCAAGGTTTAACATCAACGCAGACAAGACTCCGGAGTGTCTGCACCAAAACCACTTCATTAACTTGAAGTGGTTTTGGTGCTTGGAGTGCCCCTTTAAAATAAAGCGCTCTTCCGAAACCGCTAGAATGCAAACAGTGTTTGGCAGTGACTTTATAAAATAACGAATATTATGTGCACATGGCTTTACAGGAATGTTTGTGCAGAGCGTATAAGGGTTTATTTTATTGCAATGTTTCCATTTATTTCATTTAGAAGATAACAACATTTAAATTTTGAAGTAGTGCAAATCTCCTACTCCAACTGGCACTAAGAGTTAATAGTACCTTGAGTTGGTGGTGAGTTCACAAGATCCTGTGGTGATACCATGTAACACTGATATAAATCCGAGAAGTTCCAGGGAAAGGTGAGTTGGACATTTGCTAAAGACCTAGTGTAAGATACTAAATATAGGCATTCTGTATCCCATTGCAGTATGCAGTGATATCATGATAAAAATGTCTTTGTGTTGCATAGGAAAGGGCCAGCATGATTCATGATCTATTTACATAAATCCGACAGGATAAGCCATGGCTGCACTGCTTGCTACTGTTTATTCAAGTTCTATGCGTTCCGGACAGATTGATTTGTTTAAAGGCTCAGTCCTGTATTTAAAGTGATCTCTTCATCCATACACCATCACTTTCTAGTATGTGTAGTCTTGATTGATACATTGTGTTGGCATAATGACCAGCAAATGTGTAGATTTCAAGAAATGCTGACCATAAGATTGACTTCCTCCTAGAACTTGCAGGCTTCCCCAAATTCCGGCCCTCCAGGTGTTGCTTAACTACAGCTCCCATCATTCTCAGCCTATCTTTTTCATTCATAGAAGACAGGTGATTGTGTGTGTGTCCGTTCAATAAAAAAAACTAAGAAACAACCCTTTTTATTTACCTTTGGCACTTCACATTTTCACATAGGAAAGCAATGAATCGATGCAGTCACTATGACAGTTTTACTCCGTTGCTGCAGCAGGTAGTTACTCTAGTAGCTGTTGGTATGACAGATCCTGGAGGTGTCTTTAAAGGGTTACTCCAACCACCAAGACCACTTCATTGATTTGAAGTGGTCATGGTGGTAGGAGTCAGCTTGAAACACTGAACTTACAGAGATTATTGTTCATTATGTGCTGGGGCTTGTTGCATTCACAGAACACGTGATGTTGGCTGCCTAGAACTCTGTACTGGGCTGCCTTTGTCAATTATGTGCATAAAATACATCTGTCATTGGTGCACGCTGCTGCACGCTGTTAAAAACAAAACAAAACAAACAAACAAAAAAAACTGCAATTTTTTACGTTGCCGGGTAAACCTAAAGAACCACTGCACCCAGGACACTTCATTGAGTTCAGCTTGACAAAGACAGTGTAGGTCAAAACGTTGTGTTAAATTGGTCTTCAATAAATTTGCCATTTCTGCCTAAGCTGTTTTGAACTGTATGCTTACTTCATTGAGATGAACTGGCCTGCGTAAATGTAGTGGTCATTTTAAGACACATTGCTGGATCAGTTGCTATATTTGTTGTATTTTGCTGATATGCAAAAACGATAGCAATACAGAATGAAGTGGTGAAAAAAAATTGTGTGTGTGTATATAATGTGTGCATTTTGCTTGGAATATTGTTAGTGTTCTACTGACAAGTTCCTGGGCACTAGTAAAGTTGCAAAGTAGGTCTACAGAAATGGGCTGCATGCATTGTGTATCGATCTTGCTTATGCGGAGTTTGCCATTTACATTCATGTACCGTAATCCTCTTGGAGGAGGTATAGTATAGTATAGTTGTAGTCTGTGTATCTGCGTTTTTTGTTTTTTTTTGCTTTGCCTGCACAATAAATAGATAATGTATTTGCAGATGTCTACTTTAATTGTATAACAAACCTTTATTATAGACTTGTATAGATGGTACCCACCATGTAAAAATTACAATAGTGACAATTTGCAGTTAATTATATTTTGTCTATTTATTGTGTTAGGCTGCAACATTGTATTTTTTTTCACCACCAAAAAAAATTTAAATGCATCTGACACTCCTTTAGGCATTATGAGGCTACTTTAGTCAGCATTGTTGTAATGGACTGATGTACCCTCATCCACTGTGCCGGCCATTTTGGTATAGGACCATGCATAACATGTTGATCCTGGGATAAGTTTGAAGTATAAACTACAAAAATTACTGCTGCATCTATTTTTCTCTCCCACAATGCCGTGTGTGTGTCTGCACACTAGGCATTATGGAATGCTACATTTAGCATTGTGGAAGCAGACAGATGTGCTCCTCAGTGGCCATATTGATTAAGGGCAAGGCACGTAATACATTTCTTACAGTAAATGAAAATTTGGGAACCACATCTTTATGTAAATGACAGTTTCACTTTATTAACGTCTGTAAAGCACATTTTCCGAATGTGACTCTGAAATAATTTGATTGCGATGCTTTTTAAATTGAGGTCTTCTGAGCCTCTTCCTTGTATCCATATTATTGCAGTGTCCTGCGTTTAATCACATAATTTGGTTATATATTTCCATATGCTCATTTTCCATTTTAGTATCTAAGCGAACACATGATGATAGTCTCCATTTTCAGTTTTTTATATTTGAGATATATGTGTGTGTGTGTGTGTGTGTGTGTGTGTGTGTGTGTGTGTGTGTGTGTGTGTATATATATATATTACTGTTATGGCGGCAAACTTTTTATTTTGTATTTGTTGAAACTGAAAACTTTCCTCTCTTGAAAGGAATATCTATGTATTTTGAATACAGCCAGTGATTGCTGACTAATTTTGTTTCCGGTCTAAATGCTTTCAAAGTGTACCTGTCTGAGTAGACACAACGTGGATTTAAAAGAATAAAAATACATCTATATATAGTGCTAGCAAAAATGAATGATCGTGTAAATTTCCATAAAATGCTGTTGCAAAATCTGTTGTCCCTAACCACCTGTCATTTAATTGGCAATAAAGAGTGCGGGAGAACAGGAGAACCCTCCTATAGACGGTTCTCCTGCTCTGTCACAGTAAAACATTTTAAAAAATTTAAAATTTTTGACAGCTTGCCATTGGTCTAGCTTATGTTGTCAGCTTTGTGGGTATAACTGGAACGTAATCCCGCATTCCCTTCTCTTTGACATGGTTGCCTCTGTATGGGAACTTTATGACAAAAAACAAACTATAGGACAGTGACTAGCTTTTCTACTTTTTGCGTAATAACCGCTGAACTGTAGAGGTTATGGTGGAAAGATACTGGGGACAGTTCTTTAACCATGCAGTATACTCTGAGTTCACGCACAAAGACTTGAAGCCTCTATAACCATAGCAGTCCCACAATATCATTAATTGATCGTTGGAGAAATGTATGGTTTTTAGATGCAAGTGATGTTATCACATGGGATAAGGTTTTCTATCTGTCTGTTTTATTTATTTTTCTCCTATTTCCCTCTTGGATTGGGATAAAATATATTTTGCATATACATATATTTTGATGTAAAAGACCTCTCAATTTGGATTGAGTTTTCGCTATAAATTATTACAATATGGAACATCGTTTCAATATCTACTCTTTTTACATTTAGTTGAATAGCCCTTTTGTGGTTAGAAAACATGTATTAAACTGGCAGTGTGTGAGCAGGATGCTAAAATAGTTTCAAAGGGGCCACATCCTTCCTCGGAACATAAATGCAGATCCAGGTCATGGTCACTTCCTCCTGAAGGGATACAAGCTTAATGGTAGGTTAACATCACATGCAATGTGATCAAAATGAAATGTAGTGATTTTTATTTTTAATCATAATAAAATTAGAGTTTTACAAAGTAAATGGCTTTGTCAAGAACATTGCAAAGTGCAAAATGTGCTTTTTAAACTAGCAGTTAATGCATCTTTTTTAAAGTGAAATAGGATTATAATGTTATTACCGATGTACCTGTATTATATCAAATGTGGTTAGTAGACTGCTAAACTTGGAAATAATGGTAATTAGAGTAAAACTGTTTTGGCTCAAATTCATACAATTTGAGTGTGGCTGACCCTTTTCCGATCATGTCTGAATCACCCCTACCTGACATAAAACTCAAAAGATTTACCGAATGAAAGGTTGATTCCCCCAGGCCCAGCCTTAAGACTAGCAAAGCAACAAGGGAGATGTAATTTTACAGTAGTTGGGGGTTCTACCTTTTGGTCACCTCTGCTCTATAGTTAATGTCATTCAAGAAAATGTGGGCAAAAAGGTCTCTCCTAGACACGTGTATGGAGTGGTGTTACGCAGTCGTTCAGCAGGACCATCCCGAGTCTGAATTTGGCCTCCTGTCCTGCCACCCTGAGTAGGTTTTCTGGTGTTTAACTGTTCATTGGGACATCAAGGAAATGTCCCCAATAATGGCATTAAGTGCATCACCAGGCACTCTTACTACAATTTTTAATGAAGTGTCCCAGAAGTAATGAGCAACACACACGATAAAACATTTCCGGGTATGTATAAAACCAACATAATCTGGATTATTTTTGCACACAATTTAATAAAATGTAAATTAGAAATAACATTATTATATAAAGAACTCCATATTTTTGTTTGCTTGCTATATGATTGTACCGTATGACACTTTCGTGTGATGAAATGTCACGTGACTATCACATGATTAATGTAAATTGTATTTCCTTTCTATGGCAATTAATTGCCCTTTATTGCACAATCACATGGCCAGTGTTTAGTTTATTCTTACTATGTACACAGAAGGACGTGGCTAGACAGTCAGCATGATTTTGTTACTTTTAGTAGAGCTGAGCATATCATTTAGTAAATTGGGCATCACTGTCATGTATTTTTTTATTTTATTTTTTTTATTGCATGTAATGAAACCTAATGAATTTTTAAAATACTTTTATTTATTTAGTACTTTTTATCTGGCTGAGCAGCCACGTTAGGTGCAATTTTAATGTTATCTGAACTTGCCTGCTGCTGTGATTGTTTTGTGTGAACCTGCAGTAGTGGGCAAGCTAGAAAAGAAGAAGGAAAAAAAAAAAAAATTCTAAGGAGAGAAAAAAAAGCTGCAAAAAGAAAAATTTTAAATTTACATTAAAATAAATTAGCTGTATTGAATGTTTCACGTGTAACATTGAGAGCTCGGGCTTATAGCTGCTTTGGTTTTTGCAAATTGTTGAGGGAGAAAAGGCCCATCTAACCCTATACATATCTCATTGGTTGGTATGATGCTCGGAGAGTCCCTTTATTAAAGATTCCATTAAAGTCCAGTTTACTCAATAACTGCTGTTATTTCATTTTATTTGCTTTTCAAATGAAACTGTTTTTAAAATTTTTAGACGGTCCCAATTAAGCAAGTTATACCATAGGTTTTAGTATCACATAATGCTTAGGAATGCAAATGACAAAGTGCACTAAACCATGGCTCGACAAATCCCAGGCGCCACATCGTCATGGCGACCAAGAAATTTGTCCCGGTGCCTGGGATTTGTGAGCCTGTTTAGCCCCAGAGGTGACCAGCTGCCTGACATTGGGGGCAGGGGGGGAAGCAGACTGCTCACGCAGAGCTCAGGCAGGCAGGCAGGTGGACTGTTAGCTCATTGAGAACTGGGGGAGGTGGGCAGACCGCTGAATAAGGGAGGCGTTCCCTGTAATCTCCCTGCTCTGCTTTATCGCGCTCCCTCCAGTGATGCCGGGAACTGGAATATGATGTAATTCCAGCGCTGCATCACTAAACCGCGCTTTAGGGAGCAGAGCAGGGAGATGACAGTAGCCCCACTGGACCCCTGGAAAATCCATGTGTGCGTGTGTCTGTCAGTATGTATGTATGTTTAGGTGATCTGTCCCTCATCAATCACGTGGGAAAGGTGTTTTTACTCACCCTTTTTCCCAAGACATGCTGGTGATGCCATGGTTGGCCCCACCTCCATGTCTGAGATCCTCAGTCTCAGGCAATTCAATGCTTCTCCATAGAAAAACATTGGAAGACTATTGGGCATGCTCAGCTAAACGCCATGCCGCTCAATTAACTTCTCATACAGATGCATTGGATCAATGCATCTCTATCAGAAGCATTAATGTAGGTGCTGCACACTGTGCAGCACTGACCTGGGAAGCGCTTCTAGATGCCGTCTGAGTGACTGTCACTAGAGCTGTTACCAGACAGCAATGTAAACCCTGCCTTTAGTGCGAAAAGTCAGTATTTACATTGAAAAGTGTACAGGGACAGTATATAGATTTCAGAACTGCATTTAGCTGTAGTGGTTCTGGTGGCTATAGTGTCCCTTTTAAGAATTGTATTTTTTGATATTGAAAAATCTCTCCTACCTTTTTTTATCTGGCTCCTAGATTTCAAGCAAATTTGTCAAGCCCTGTACTAAACAGTGTTATATGTAAGAAGCAAGCTTCAGAGTTTACAATGAAAAATTCACATTATTTTATTAAATGTAATCATAACAATACATGGTAAGCTTTGTTTAAAAAAAAAACAAAAAAAAAAAAAAAATTTTTTACAAAAAATCAACTTGATTTTTAATTTAAACTACATTCCCCTTAGTGGCTTTCCAGCTTATCCTTTAGAGTAGTGGTTAGCTTACTTGCTGGAACATATATTGTGCTATTTGCTTATTCATTGCATTTTCCTAAACAATCAGACACTATGATTGCATAATAACCTCGATCTTATGCAGTCAAGCCCTGCTATTTAATTTTCCAATTACACTAAATAGGCTATGCCAGATATAATTCGCATCCACCTAAACTAAAGATTTTTCCATTGACACACCTCTGTTGAGCTGCGTCCCGTGATGACTTCATGGAAAAAGTTTTAATGGTTTTCAAACCAATTCCCATTGACTCGTATATCACATCTTCACCCTTCCAAGAATGCGCACAAACAATGGGGACTCGTATTGTGCTACATTAGATTATTTATAGGCTGAGAGACATTCCATTTAAAGCTTTCTGGACTCCCAAGTTGTTATGTATGTGACAGCATGTACATAAAATATGAAACACATGTTTCTAATAATATATTAAAGAGTATATGTACTATTTATATGTGTATTTATTAATCTATTCCAGATCATATGTTCTATTTCTATATATAAATAATATTAGACTTCTGCAAATATGTGTTAGTTGCCCAAATAAAATTTAATTCCTGGCAATGTTTAAACTAATACGTTCTGAGTATTCATTCATTTTTTGACTGAAATTCGTTCTTAAATGAGCCAATGTCCGTCATAATATGAACAAATATTGTGAATTGATTAGTTCAATGATTACGAGGAATTTCATTTTATTCAGACAATGAACATTTGCACAAATCGAATATATATATATGTGAGTGTTGTGAGGACAAGGTGCTGCAGCTTCACGACCACAAGCACGCATTTGGCAACATCACAAGTGAACGTTATGTTTCCATGTGCCTAAATACTTGTATGGTATGTGCCGATCCACTGACCAAGGCTAAAATCCATTCTTTTTCCCTCTTCTTACCCTCTATGTAGCCCTCTAACTGACCTGATCTCTTGGCAGATTGCTTCAGATTCAATGTGAAAACGTGAAATTGTCAATCTAAATTTGATTAAAGGGATTAAAGGGCCAGGAAAACAATCAGTTTTCCTGGCACTGCAGGTCCCCTCTCCCTGAAAAACCCCTTCAGTCACTTACCAGAGGCAGCAACATGTCCCACGTCGCTGATCCTTCCGCCGCCGCCGCTCTTCCCCTTCATTACGTCAGCGAGACTGATCCCGGCTGGGGAGACCTAATGCGCAGGTGCGGCAATGCCGTGCATGCGCATTAGACCTCTCCATAGGAAAGCATTGAAAATGCTTTTCAATGCTTTACTATGGGGATTTTAGCGACGCTGGAGGTCCTCACACAGCGTGAGGACGTCCAGCGACGCTATAGCACAGATAATCTGTGCTATGATCCCGGAAGTGCTCTCTAGAGGCTGTCTAGTAGACAGCCACTAGGGGAGGACTTAACCCTGCAAGGTAATTATTGCAGTTTATGAAAACTGCAATAATTACAGTTGCATGGTTAAGGGTAGTGGGAGTTGGCACCCAGACCACTCCAATGGGCAGAAGTGGTCTGGGTGCCTGGAGTGTCCCTTTAAACCCTTGGAGCTAGTTAAGATCCCCTATTATAAACAAAAGCTGCATTACAGCTAGACCTGGTTATTCCCATCTCCACCCGGTCATTTCAAATTTTAGACTAAAATAGCCAAACCAAAAACTGATTATTCAAATCCACATATTTTGGCCTAAAGTTTAACATTCTCTTTTAAATGTGATAGTGTGAACTGTCAGCGATTCAATGGATAACCCTGCAGTGGTAAATGAGAGTACCTTTAAGTTTTCTCTAGTTTGTGGTGTTGAGAACCATTCCATTGGGTAATAACTTCATTTTGTCAGTATCCGAAGGGTGAAAAGACGTGTTGACCTTACCATGACTCGAACATACTGCATTGGAATGCAGAGATAATGCAGTTGGAGCATTAACCACTGAGCTGCATCAAATGGTGCGCAAGTTGCCATGTGTTAAAAAAACTTTCTAAAGGAACAATGACCTTATAAATGAGATCAGCTTGTAAAGTATTGTGCCAACTGATATTCATGGCCAATCATACATAACTGGTGCTGTAAGTGTATTTTTTATTTTTATTTTTTTTTGCTTACACAACCCCAGCTCTTGAATGCCTCAGACTTTTTCCATCCACTGCAGCAACAGCTGGTTTACATATTTCACTTGAGCCTTAACAAGCCCGTATATAATCAGCGTTTCCATGATGACCGATCTATTTGCTATCAAATTGAAGTGACATGGCCAGAATACCAGGAAATCTTAAGTGGAGAATATCATTTGCAAATGTTTCCTTTGTTGAGATTCTTCCTCTCCGCACACTTGAGCAGAGATAAGATTAATGAGCCTACGGTTTAGTAGGTGGCTCTGTGTAGGTATTTATGTCTGGCTGGCTACAGATTCCTATATTATTGTGGTGTGTGTTTTTTTTGTTATGTGTGTGTTTGTTTATACTTTATATGGACTGCATGCAGTGGTGTATCCTGGTTTTGTGCTGCCCTAGGCATGACAAAACTCAGGCTTTTTTGCCGCCCCTTGGAAAATGCCACCAAAGGCAAATGCCTTGTTTGCCTTGCGGCTAATACGACCCTGACTGTGTGTATAGTGTAGCTGTTTTAGTCATGTCACATGACCGCATTGGGGCATCTCATGTCTCTTTTTATTTTGACCATCCAACATTTTACACTGACCATCTGTAAGAAGTTTACAGAACATAATTGTAAACCATGTATATTAGAATAGTACGATACATGTAGAACAAAGGTGGCGTTCATTTTATCTTTTATTTTCAATGTACTTAAAGGGATACTAAATGCCAGGAATGCAAAGCTGTATTCCTGGCATTATCTCCTCCCACCTCCCTCACACCCTCCCAACCTCTGATGTCCCGCGAAGACCATTAGACCTCCCCGTAGGAAAGCATTGAATCAATGCTTTTCTCTGGGGGGAAAAATCTCTGCCGCTGGATGTCCTCCTGCAGAGCATGAAGATGTCCGATACCAGACCAAAGGTCCGTTTCAAACCAGGAAGCCCTGGATACCACTGATACTGAATAAAGTTTGCTGGTCAGTAGAGTAACACAGATAGTGTCACTTAGTCATTCGGCGTCAATGGGATGCTAGCAAAAGGCATGTCAAAACTGGGATATGTCATGAATTTAACCCTAGAGTATAGACCAAGCATGTCAAACTCGCGGCCAACAGGCCGCATGCGGACCACAGTGGTTATCTTTGCGGCCCAGCGAGTACATGCTTAGTGTTATAGCAGAGTAGGCACCTGATTTCTCCACATTGCAGGTGCATACACTGCTAAAATTTACCTGGCCGGGAGGAGAGGTCGCTGGAGGAGCTCAGTCTTCCTCACTGCTCCCTCACGTGCGCCGTCTGTAGTGGTGCCGGAATATAACTTCATATTCCGGGACCTGGCATCACTAAACTGCGTGTGCGAGGGAGCAGTGAGCAGCAGGAAGGAGATCTCCAGATAGAAGATCCCCACTGGACTCCAGGGATAAATACAATGATGTGAGCATGTGCAAGAATGTGTAAATCTGTCTCTGAGTGTGTCAGTGTTGCGATGGCCGCGGCTGGACAGTGGAGGACCTGGAGGTGCACGGAGGTACGCAACGCCATGTCACATTCCAACATGATGTCGACATGCTCCACCTTCACAGGGTTTCAAAGGGACTAACCTATGGACCAGGATTATTTGTTTTCTTTTTTTTTATATTTTCTTTTTTTGTAGTGTGTACACACTGGGACTTTAGTACTATAATTTTTCACAGAATGTTTATAATTTTTTGGATCCATTTTTCTTTTTTTCTTTTTTTTAAATATTTATTTCTTTTTTTCCATAGATTTTTGGTATCAGACTATTGAGATACATATAACTTATATACTCTGCAATATAGCATTGTATATTGTTATTTCATCTTGTAGGGTTACTAGGTAGGGATTTTTTTATTCCACTGTTACATATAGAACTGGCAGTAGTGTAGATGTATGTCTACTCCTATGTACATCGTTTTGTTTATGTATTTGTGCCTATTCTGAAGTATAGACTGTGACAGAACAGACTATCACAATACTTATATCAAATAAAACATTTGTGAAAATAAATACAAGAAACCTTTTGAATTATACCTGAGTGCGGTATCACATGTTTTCTATATCTAATTAAAGGTATTTTCGGGGCGACCTTGATACCAGCACCACCATAGATATGAGTGCTAATACATTTGGGTGTACCAGAGGCTGGAGTCACATACTGGCTGCGCCAATGTGAGTGGAGTCTGCTTGTTGGCTAGTGGGGAGTGCTGGGATTTAGTATATGGGGGAGGGGGTGCTCCATTTTTGTACTGTACAGTTTAAAATAAACCTACTTTTTCTATGAAAATTTTCAGTGTTTTTTTTTTTTTGTTTTGTTTTTTTGCGGCCCACATAAACTTAAACCTTGCTTATTTGGCCTGTGCTAGACTTTGAGTTTGACATGCTTGGTCTAGACCTTTACAAACATTATGGCTAACATATATGTACGTATGTTGGTATACATGGAGATGAGAATACATGCTAATTGATGGGTTTAACTTTTAATATATTAGCTTAACATTTTGTGAAAGTGTGTGTGTGTGTATACGCTTTTTTTTGCATTTACTAGCCAGCTTCGGATTAGCATCAAGCAAATGAGATACAATGTTTTTGGAATAGTATGGGAATTAAAGATTGACTAATGCCTCGTTTCCACTGAGCGGTATGGTTCGGTTCGGAAGGCTTAGATTGGTCTAACCTATTCAGGTAAGCGCTTCCACTGCAAGTCGGACCGCCACGGGGCATGCAGGATTTTGACCAAATGCCTAGCGTGTCATTTGTCGTGAGCATTGATGTTTTCCATGCCAATCAATGGATTGTATAGTGACGCCAGTAGCTCCGCCCTAACCATACTGTACCATTTCCTATGGACCTACATCTGAAGGGGGCCCAGGAAAGGTGTGGTGTGGTTCGGTTATATGGAAACACCCCAACCTTGGCATAATAAATCAACACGCTATCTGCAGAGTTGCTCCCGTTGTGCTGAACGCTCCTGGAGGAAGTCCCGCACCCAGGCAGACTTTCTCCATTATAGATTCATGTTGCTTTCATACAGCGCAGCCCTCGCCCTCGCCAAACAGTCATACTTTTCCTCTCTCATTAGTTCATGCTCCCGCAATCCCAGACGCCTCTTTGACACCTTTAATTCCCTTCTCCGCCCTGCTGTGGCCACCCCCCAAACTAACCTTACAGCTGATAGCTTTGCATGCTACTTTACCGACAAGATTGAACAGCTAAGGAAACAATTCTCCCCTCCTTGCCGTTCTCTTTCTCAACCACATGTAAATCTTGCTTTCCCTACCCTCCAGACTTTCTACCCGGCTACTGAACAAGAGGTGGCTGCGCTTCTCCATTCCTCTCGCCCCACCACTTGCCCGCTCGATCCTGTCCCATCTCACCTCATCAGATCTCTCTCCCCTTGTCTTGTGCCTACCCTAACACACATCTTTAACTGCTCTCTCTCTTCTGGCACTGTTCCTGCTGACCTTAAACATGCCACTGTAATACCTATCCTGAAAAAACCATCTCTTGACCCATCCTCCCCTTCTAACTATCGTCCCATATCCCTGCTCCCTTTCTCATCAAAGCTTTTGGAAAGGCTTGTCTTTACCCGTGTGTCCCGCTTCCTTAATTCCAACTCTCTCCTTGACCCTCTTCAGTCTGGCTTCCGCCCTCTCCACTCTACTGAGACTGCTCTTATCAAAGTGACTAATGACCTAATCTCCGCTAAATCCAAAGGTCATTACTCCATATTAATTCTCCTTGACCTCTCTGCTGCCTTTGACACCGTTGATCATGCTCTCCTCCTTCAAACTCTTCAATCGCTCGGTCTCTGTGACTCGGTCCTCTCTTGGTTTTCCTCCTATCTCTCCCAACGCTCATTCAGTGTCTCCTTTTCCAAGGATACCTCCTCCACTCGTCCTGTCTCGGTTGGAGTTCCCCAAGGGTCTGTCCTTGGTCCCCTTCTATTTTCTCTTTATACCGCCTCTCTTGGTAAACTGATTGCCTCTTTTGGATTCCACTACCACCTGTACGCTGATGACACTCAGATATACCTCTCCTCCCCGGACCTCTCCCCTGCTGTCCTGCAACGTGTCACTGCTTGCCTTTCTTCCATCTCTGACTGGATGTCTTCACGCTTTCTGAAACTTAACCTCTCTAAAACTGAACTCCTTGTCTTTCCTCCTCCTAATACTGATCCTCCTCTCTCGCTCTCCCTTCAAGTCAGTGATATCCACATAAGTCCATCCCTGCAAGCGCGCTGTCTTGGCGTCATACTTGACTCTGGTCTCACCTTTGAGTCTCACATCCAGTTTGTTGCCAAGTCCTGTAGGTTCCAACTCAAAAACATAGCCCGCATTCGCCCCTTTCTTACGCAAGATGCTACCAAGGAGCTTGTCCATGCTCTAGTAATTTCCCGCATGGATTACTGTAACCCTCTCCTGATTGGTCTCCCCAAAAGCCGTATTGCCCCGCTACAGTCTGTAATGAATGCTGCAGCTAGACTGATTTTCCTCTCTAGTCGGTCCTCTCACACCTCACCCCTCTGCCGGTCCTTACATTGGCTCCCTGTATGCTATAGGAGTCAATTCAAAGTGCTAACCCATACATTTAAAGCACTGAACAGTTCTAGCCCCGCTTATATCTCTTCACTGATCCATAAATATGCCCCTCCACGTACCCTCCGCTCTGCCCGTGACCACCTCCTGACCGCTGCTCGCACCCGTACGGCCAACTCGCGCTTGCAGGACCTCTCGCGGGCGGCTCCTCTCCTATGGAATAGCTTGCCTACTGCCATCAGACTCTCCCCTAGTCTTCAATCATTTAAGAAGGGCCTTAAAACCCATCTCTTCAGGAAAGCTTATGGCCTCCCAGAGTAATCTCTACCTTACATACCTGTCTCCTGCTCTCTCCTATGGGACAGTGCTTTGCTCTCTCCTCCAGCTCTGCTTCACTCCTACTTGATATTTATTGTCCTAATGTTTCAAATACCCCACCTCCAATAGTCTGTAAGCTCGTTTGAGCAGGGTCCTCTTCAACCTATTGTTCCTGTAAGTTTTCTTGTAATTGTCCTATTTATTGTTACACCCCCCCTCTCAAAATATTGTAAAGCGCTACGGAATCCGTTGGCGCTATATAAATGGCAATAATAATAATAATAATAATAATAGTGTACCAGACCATACTGATCCGTACCGCTCAGTGGAAACTGGCATATTAGACTACTTTGCAGGCCCCATGTCTCCTTTTGGTTTAAGAGTGAGCTGTAAAATTAAATTGCCCCCACCGTGCCACACTGTTGGCAAAAGTACACTCTCAAAGCAAAATGTGTTTGGAGATTTTTTTTTTTTTTTTTTTTGTATGGCTGTTTAATCATCCTTTTCTCCAAATATTGCTGTAAGAATTTCTTTAAGCAATTGTTAAAAGGACCACTATAGTGCCAGGAAAACATACTCGTTTTCCTGGCACTATAGTGCCCTGAGGGTGCCCCCACCCTCAGGGACCCCCTCCCGCCCGGCTCTGGAAGGGGGGAAAGGGTAAAAACTTACCTTTTTCCAGCGCTGGGCGGGGAGCTCTCCCTCCCTGCCTCTCGCTAAGATTACGCCCGCCCATTGAATGCTTACTTGTAGCGGCAAGAGCTGCGCGCGCATTCAGCCGGTCTCATAGGAAAGCATTTACAATGCTTTCCTATGGACGCTGGCGTGCTCTCACTGTGAAAATCACAGTGAGAAGCACGCAAGCGCCTCTAGTGGCTGTCAATGAGACAGCTACTAGAGGATTAGGGGGAAGGCTTAACCCATTCATAATTATAGCAGTTTCTCTGAAACTGCTATATTTATGAAAAAATGGGTTAACCCTAGAAGGACCTGGCACCCAGACCACTTCATTAAGCTGAAGTGGTCTGGGTGCCTAGAGTGGTCCTTTAAGCTTATATATTTAAACCACTCAATAAGTATTTAGTTCCATCCCCATGTATACCAACATACACAAATATATGTTAGCCATTTTTGTGAAGGTATAGACTCCAGGGTTAAATTCATGATATCCCAATTTTGACATGCCTCTTGCTGACATCCCATTGACACCGAATGGCTGATACTATCGGTGTCACCCTACTGACCAGCATCAAACGTGACTCCGTATCAGTGGTATCTTGGCATATGGTTCAAATGGAAAAAATTTAATGCCTGAAAAAGCTTCCATGGAACCATGAGCTGTTTCCAAGTTATAATTACTATATTAAAGGGGCATTTCAAGCACCATAATCACTACAGCCCCATGCCAGGCATTCTATGCCACTATTTCACCATAATCTGTAAAACTGTTTTAGCATGGTTTTGACACTTGCCAGATGCCCACATTGGAGATTTAGAAACTGGATGCCCATTTGTGCAAGGCAGCAGCACATCCATTGGTTGACAGTACTCCCTTTTTCACTCTCCGCCAATTAATGTTTTCCTGTCTTGCTTCAATATGACCTCCAGCATCACAGCTTGAGAGGACCACAAGAAGTGCAGGTGCCCGGTGAGATTCAGAGAACCGTTAAGCAATGCTAAAATGCTAAACCATGGTTTGCCAGATTATCGTGGGAAGATCCCAAGGCACTTCTGGCACCAAAACCAATATAGTGGGATGTAGTAGTTATCATGCTTTGAATGTTCCTTTAAATTAGACTGATTGGGGGAGGGTGGACTCAGGGGAAAAAAATGGTGAAATTTCCTAACTTATTTCATACCAGACATAGCAATTACCCACAGCCGGTAAAGATTCGTAAAAGTAAGGCTGAATAGGTATCGACCCTGTGGACTGATACTTTTATTTTATTGATCAATGATAAAAAAAATAACAAAAAATCTATACTAGCTAAAAGATTAAAAATCTGGTCTTGGGGGGGGAGGGGGGGGAAATCACGCTGCCAGCGGCCCATCGACACGCTAAAAGCAGACGGCAAGACTCCTTAACCCACCCCGAAGCGATTAATGCCATTCTTCGCAGCCTCGCACCAGCCTAAGCGGAGGCAAAAACTTAAGGCCTACCCCACACTGACATATACAGGCCTGGAGGCAATCCTAAACGACTCCGCAGCAAGAAGGGTGTGGGAAAGAGCGTCCCCAACGGAGCCGGATCAGCCTGACTGCATGCCGGCTATGGGGCACCGCTCACAGCGACCACAACACCAGCCGAATCCCTGCGCCTTGCAACTCAAACTCACCGCCAGGATCCGGGTCAAACACCACCATGGACACTCAACCCGTGCGCGCAAACAGTCCGGATGACTCAGCCGAATTGACCCCTACCACCAAGCATGACTTAAAGGACCACTATAGGCACCCAGACCACTTCAGCTTAAAGGACCACTCTAGGCACCCAGACCACTTCAGCTTAATGAAGTGGTCTGGGTGCCAGGTCCAGCTAGGGTTAACCCATTTTTTTATAAACATAGCAGTTTCAGAGAAACTGCTATGTTTATGAATGGGTTAAGCCTTCCCCCATTCCCTCTAGTGGCTGTCTCATTGACAGCCGCTAGAGGCGCTTCCGTGCTTCTCACTGTGAAAATCAGTGAGAGCACGCAAGCGTCCATAGGAAAGCATTGTAAATGCTTTCCTATGTGACCGGCTGAATGCGTGCGCATTCAGCCGACGGGGAGGAGAGAAGGAGGATCGGAGGCAGAGAGCTCCCCGCCCAGCGCTAAAAAAGGTAAGTTTTTACCCCTTTCCTCCTTTCAGAGCCGGGGGCACCCTCAGGGCGCTATAGTGCCAGGAAAAAGAGTGTGTTTTCCTGGCACTATAGTGGTCCTTTAATGAAGTGGTCTGGGTACCAGGTCCAGCTAGGGTCAACCCTTTTTATAAACATAGCAGTTTCAGAGAAACTGCTATGTTAATGTTAGGGTTAATCCAGCCTCCAGTGGCTGTCTCTTGACATCCGCTAGAGGCGCTTGCGTGCGTCTCACTGTGAAAATTGTGAATGCTTTCCTATGGACTGGCTGAATGCGTGCGCAGCTCCTGCTGTGCATGCGCATTCAGCCAAAGAGGAGGAGGAGGAGAGCTCCCCGCCCGGCGCTGGAAAAAGAGGTAAGTTTAACCCCTTCATCTCCCCAGAGCCCAGCGGGGGCACCCTCAGGGCACTATAGTGCCAGGAAAACGAGTATGTTTTCCTGGCACTATAGTGGTCCTTTAAAAATACTATTGACAGATTTTCATAAAATCCTGGCAGCAGAACTTGCCCCAATCAAAACAGACATTAAGGCAATCACAGAGAGTGCAGATGTCAGAAAGAGACATCGTGACCCTACAGGAACACCAGTCTGAGCTTCAGGAATCCTTACAGCAAGTGTGGACCCACCAAAGAACCATGGCTGCACATCTGACAGCACTGATAGCACCAACATAAAAATAAGGGGCATTCCAGCAGAAACTGCAAGAGAAACTACTGCACTACTCCAGACGTCTGCTGGCCACAATCCTACCTCCAGCCACAGTAAAGAAACTGGCCACTATGGAGATATACTGTCTACCCGCAACAGCAAGGGCCCCACCAAATATGGCCCTGGACGTAATACTCAAATGTCCAACGCTTCACGACAAAATACAGATTATGTCGGCCCTTAAAGGGAAAACGCCACTGAAATTCGAGGGGCGTTACCCTGACCTTCTTTCAAGACCTTACAAAAGCCACTTACCTGGCGCAAAACTTTCCACCCGCTCACCAGTGACCTGAGATCCGCAGGTATCACCTATAGATGGGGCACTAATGGATCCCTGGTGGTTCACCAGAACGGAACCCAGCATACAAACACCGCGATGGAGAAAGCACCCAAATTATTAGTGGCCTTGGGACTGACAACTCAGACCAGCGTAAATCCACCCCAGAGACCAACAGCAGACACCTGGGACCCGGAACACGTCGTCCCATTTGTACCAAGGGCCAGGGGCTCCCAAAACCAGAACACAGATGGAAGACAGTCCCTGGGGACCAATCCCCCCCCCTGCAACTCCCACGGTTAGGAGTAAGCACACGTAAGGTGAAGGGCACATTCGACACCACTACATCTCTAGACATAGGGCTCTCTGCGACCAACCAGCTCCTCATCTCGCTCACAACACCCTAGCGTTTACAAGAATACCTTCGATTACACACAGTCTAAGCAGCGCAGGCAGAACAGCTCAGCATACCAGAGAGCCTAGATGTAGCCTGAATTAACCCATACTCGCCTCCAAACCAGCAATGTCTGTAACACCAAGCCTGAACCTCCCATCACGTACCCACACGGCAGACGCGTAAACCCAGCTTGTACATGGCTAGATTCAAAACCTACATAAAAAGTGCTTTTTTTACAGAATGTCAGGCAACTGACAGTATATGCATGTACCTCATCCAACTGGTAAATACTGTTGCAACATTGTATGCATAATCCTGTCATTTTATGCATGCAAAAATAAAGAATTAAAAAAATATATATCATTGTTGCCCTGGTACTAACTCAAATAGGCATACTAACCATACCTATAGACTGGAGTTTTAGTGATTGCGATATATTAACTGTCATAGTGGGATAGACATATACAGAGGAGTAATGTCTAATCATGCATGAGCAATCCTTGGGCAACATGAGGACACTGAAGTTGTCCTGAACATAGAAACACAGCAAACACAGGTGTGTTTTAAAGTATCTCTTCTAGTATTTACTGGGGTTAAAGGACCACTCTAGGCACCCAGACCACTTCAGCTTAATGAAGTGGTCTGGGTGCCAGGTCCAGCTAGGGTTAACCCATTTTTTCATAAACATAGCAGTTTCAGAGAAACTGCTATGTTTATGAATGGGTTAAGCCTTCCCCTAATCCTCTAGTGACTGTCTCATTGACAGCCACTAGAGGCGCTTGCGTGCTTCTCACTGTGATTTTCACAGTGAGAGCACGCAAGCGTCCATAGGAAAGCATTGTAAATGCTTTCCTATGCGACGGGCTGAATGCGCGCGCAGCTCTTGCCGCGCGTGCGCATTCAGCCCAGGAGGAGGAGAAGAGGAGGATCGGAGGAGGAGAGCTCTCCGCCCAGCGCTGGAAAAAGGTAAGTTTTTACCCCTTTCCCCTTCCAGAGCCGGGCGGGAGGGGGTCCCTGAGGGTGGGGGCACCCTCAGGGCACTATAGTGCCAGGAAAACGAGTATGTTTTCCTGGCACTATAGTGGTCCTTTAAGGAACAAGGAGCTGTGAATTCCAGATAAGTGATAGTTTCACTTTAAGAACAGTACGTTTTTACAATATAATTTTTTCTACAAACTTAGCCCAGTTTCTCCAGAAATAGAAATGTATTGTTCTCGGTGGTTCAGCTTTTGCCTTTTTTTTTTTTTTTCTTTTATTTGATTGAAAGTTTTATGATTTTCCCACAATAGTTTCCTGTTTTCAAATTGCACTATTCAATTATTATTGAGAAATATTTTCCATTCAATTTGCAATTTCCTGCTTTTAGATGAAGATATTTTATTTTAAGAAGTCTGCTTCACAGAAAGACTATCAAGAGCGTTTTACGGGGTAGTCATCCTAGGATCGTAATTTATTTCAATCCTTACTTTGAGGTTCTGAATTCTTTTAATCTGTTTGAAAATATTGTGGATATTTTTCGGAGATCCAACTTGAGATAAAACTCAGAACAGATTCCACAACGATCCTGGATATCCCATCTTAATACCCTTCACTCCAATACGGAAATTGCTTAAACATCTGTCTTTCATGTAAACTAAAACTTTGAATTCTAGGGTCAACTGTACTTCACTGTTGCATGGGGTCTAGATGTTTTGGCAGATTTAACGCAGCTGTTTGAGATGTTAAATAATATTACAAAGATTTGTTGTCTTAAAGGACTGCTTACTTTTAATGGCATAGTAAATGATTAAAAAACTGTATTATGTAAATTAATAAAACAAAAAGTTCAACCAGTTAATTTCTAATAATTCGGTGTTGATTTACTAAACCGAATGCACTGATAATGGAGCTATATTGTCGCTTTCAGGGTGAAAGTGTTTGTAAGGAAGCCGATACGATGACAAACTATGGGTGAATATTACATTTGTGTAACACCCACAATCATAAGTTGCAAGAATCCCGACTGTGACTGCTACACTGGCATTGCGGTGGCCAAGGGCTGCAGGGGATAGGGAGTTATGCTTACCTGGATCCGTCAGTTGTGGCTGCCGGTTCTCTTCCGCTCCCGCCAAGAGACTGTCGGCGTTGTAATCTCGCATAAGTGTACAACACTGAGGTCTATGAAGGATCCTGTGGGATCCTCCATAGACAGAGCCTTGTCCACCTAAGCCGTTAGGGCTTGATAAAAGGTAGCTCCACTTTTTGTCAAGCGTAGTCTACTTTGACTTAGTGTATCTTGGTACTGGGTTGGAATTTCAGTGAAATTTCATAAAGATTTTATCATGGGATCCTCCATAGGAAGAGCTTCACTGGTGATATCTGGGGGGTTACATAGTGTCAAGCATTGTCAGATGGAGGAAAAATACTGAGACTACAAAGTCCATACTTTGTCTCTGTATACCTTTTTGACTTCTATCTCTATGAAGCACTCATTTTGGAAGACGGGGTAACAGTCCTGCCTTAAGTAAGCTCCTATAGATGTTGTCCATGCCTGAGGTTTTATGGCTCCAATGTCTGTAACTACCTTGCCATCCCATGTTTGTATACTGTCCCAAGTGGTGATGTCAGAACATGTGTAACCTGAAACTGTTGATGGCATGCTAGGATGGTACACCGCAATCCAGGGGAGCATCATATTACAAAAAATATAAATCAAATAGATTGGGAATATTGCAAACCTGGAGCTTCAGCTCCAGTAACATCAGTGTTATTCTGGCCCTGCTGGATGTGAAGGTTTTTTTGCTCCTGACCTCCCATAGGTTCATGATGAGGTTCCAAGATTCAGATTGCAAAACCTAGTTTATGTATTCTGTCATCTAGTCCAAAGAAGCTTGCATTATTGATGTGATTAAAGCTGTATACTTATTCAGTGATGGATTGTGTGGGATTATTCTATTGGGGACTAGTCCCTGTAATTGGTTGTAACTAATGGCAAATCACCCAGGCCAAACATCAGAGCAATTCTACAATGAGAAAGCCATGTTTAAACATTTACAGTGAATGGGACTTAAGTAAGACATTACTCTCCTTTTATGGCACTTTACGACCTTCTTGGACCATCCCTGAGGCACCACCAAGTGCATCGCCGTCAGGGTTTGCAATGTCTGGTATCAGCAAACCTGGACCAATTGGTGGTCTCTAAGGACCAGTTTTAGAAGTAGAGATTACTGACCGTGCATGCTAAGCGACAGTCCTACAGGCTTGTACTGACTATGTCTGTGTGCGCGGCTCGCACACACCTGGTCTAGATGGAGGAGGTGCTCTAGTGGCCATCGGGAAGACAGCCGCTAGAGACTTGTCTAACTCTGCAATGTAAACATTGCTGTGTCTACGCAACACCTGTTTTACATTGCATGATTATATGTAACTGTGGTCTGTGTGCTTTTAGTCATACTTTAATATTAAAACTGGTGCTTTTATCCCAGATATCACAAATTCTCCATCTGTCAATGAAATTGATACATTATGTGTGGATGATTTATTTATTTTTTTTAATAGGGGAAAAATGTTTGTCATCTGTTATTTTTAGTGACCGTACACCACCTCACAAAAATGGCAACTCTTCACCCTGGTCTCTCCCCCTCCCACCCCTCCCCAAAACCAGATTTGTTTATTCAAACACAGCCTTGCAAAATGTACTATTTCCATTTGAGACATTTATATTTCCAGTTTCTCTGTTGTATATCATCACCTAAAAATCTATTGAGAGGGGTAAGGCTATTTTAATTTAGGAGAACAGATTTTTCCATTGCTTAATGGGTAACCTCATCCAGTCGTAGGATATAATTACTGGATTCTTAGAACAAGTCCTGCAGTTAACGGTGACCAACTGCAGATGTTCATATGTCCTCTCTTCATCTCATGACCTGTTGTTGTCCATGCTTTTTCAAAATATATTCTTCGTCAACAATGGCTAAGCATGGCACAATGTAAGCCAGCAAAGGCCAAAGGTTAAAGCGTGGATGTTTAATAGAGAGGTATTAAATAGATTAAAATTGTACTCGCATAAGTACAAATTCACGTGTAAAATTTAAAAAAAATATAGCCCAGACCAACTTACATAGAAAGCAAAGTAAGGGTTTCTCCAACCTCCATGACCAGCGATTTGTATGTGTAGTATTTCCGCTTCTGCCTATACAGCGCAATATGAGATTTTGTGCGAGAGTAGTTATATTTTTGGCACATGTAATTTATTCAGCACGGCACTCTATTTCAGACTGACTAATGTGAGTCCTGTGCAAAAAACGCGTCAATCGTCAACACGCAATGCGTACCTTCAAGTAGAAGCACTCATTTTGGAAGACACCTTTGTGAGCTAGAAGTTCCCTACACTGAGATCAGAATGGCAGGTCCCCTTGATAAACTGTTTGACTGCTTACATAGGAGAGGGGTGGAGCACCAGGACACTTGTCACATTAACCAATACATCAGTCTATAGTGGTTATGGTACTTGGAGTGTTCCTTTTAACTAAAACAATGTTTCTGTGTGCGTGTTCTTGTTACAAATGACTGTTTTATGTGGGTTTTTTCTGTTCCTATCAACCTTTGCTATACATTAGGCCGGGCCTGTGATCCTCATGTCTATAAAAGAAGTGGAAGCCTAATATAGACAAAATCTATAGGGGAGTGGAGGGGTTAACCCTGATTGAGAATGGCAAGAAAGGAGAGAAACATATTGTTTCTCTCCTTTCTTGTGATCCTCATGTGTTACAGATGCCTGATACACAGCCTGAGAGCGTTGGGGTTTGTTATTGGCAAACAGTTGATGTGCTGTCATTTATCTAGTCCTCCCAGAAGTAGATTAACCCTTACAGGGATTAGGCAAATCTTAGTTTACAGTCCTGCCTTGCCATTGGTCCTTGGTTAAAGTATTTTGCGTGTGACTCATGACCTAATTTGTTTTGTTCGTGTTTTTTTTTTTTTTTTTTTTAAGCTTTGGGTATTGTGTGTTTGCTTTAGATTGGATTGTGTTTTTAGATTGAGAACATTGTGTATGGAAGTATCAGACTGATACAACATGGATTGTTTTTAGATAATATGCACTTGTATTTTTAGCTTGTCCTACAGAACCCTGGAAAATGATTTCAAAATCACTACCATTATTTTTTTTGTGAGGTAAATATTGTAAATATGTATATTTATGCATATATGCTATTTGAACATAGACGATAAAGTTCACAGCTGAAAATACAAGCTATGACGCTTAGTACTGCGAGTCATAGGAAAATAAAATTGCTATAAATCATCTGTCAATGAGCTTGCTAATGATGACATTCACAAATAGCTTTAAGTCCCATCGTGGAGAAAAGCACTAAATAAAGATTAGTGTTAAAGGCACCTTACAACCCTTAAAGGGGCCCTCTTAGCATAGTAACTGCTATAGGCCATTGTAATGTTCAGGACTCAGAATTTCCACATTTAATTATGGGGCTGTGCTCCTGTCCTTTTGGCTGATCACTAACTCATTATATGCCACCGTTGGGAGGAGAAGCGTGGTGGAGCTTTAAAGGGACATGCCAGTGACACAGTTTGCACAGCTTCAAAGGGTGCAATCATGAACTAGATTGAGTCTGCCCAGCAAGATGGCTACCAAGGGTGGAAATGCCCTGCTGTCTCCTAGCATAGCTGCAATATTATTTTGAAAGCCAAAGTGGCTGGGCAGGGGCCCAGAACTGACAATGTCAGGCCACATTTGGACTATTGGCAACTATATAGCAGCACATGAATTAAGTTTCATCTTATCCTTCTCCACTCTCTGTTTTCATTCCTTTTTATAGCCCAAATATCCAGGTACCTGAAATGTTTCCTTTTACCTTAAAGGGTTACTCCAACCACCATGACCACTTGCTGCTTACAAATACTGCACATCCTGAGATATTTGCTGTTGTGTGTTGGGGCTAGTTACAACCCTAAAACACACTTTGGTAGCCGGGATTTCTGTTCTTGGCTGCCCAATGTCAATTCTGTACATATTGTACGTCTTTCATTTGACGTAGTAATTGCTTACCCTTCCCTTTCTCCTCCTGTCTGTTGGTTTTTTTTTTTGTTTGTTTGTTTTTTATTTATTTTATTTTTTTAGTTGAAAGTCCCTCCCTCCCCACTATATCCTCCCCTCACCTACTCAGAGCATGCACACTCAAGTTTGTGAGTGGGTCGTGTGAGGCGCCTGCTGGCGTCAGACAGGCTTGTGATTGGCGCCAGAGCTTTACCTGGTGCTGGATTACATATAATTTGAAAGCTTTTTAAAAAATGTATTTAAAAAAAAAAAAAAAAAAGTATTCAAGGGTGGGGGAGGTAACCTCAAAACAATGCCCAATAAGGCATTGGTAGGCTTAAAAAAGTGAAGTGTGAAAGAGGGTTGCAGTAAACCTTTAACTAGTTCCTTCTAAGTACTGGAACCATTGCAACTCATTTATTTATAGTTCTTATTTCTAACTGTTTACTAATTGCCCAATTCAGTGTCTAGTAAACTTGCCAATGTACAGGGACACGTAAACTTTGCAGTGCGGTCTGCAGCTGTACTACATATAAGTTGGACACAATTGACATCAGGCTGGCTGAACCAAGCATTTTGGCTGCCTGATGGACAGCTCTGATTGGCTGGCTGTCTCAGTGCTGCTGAGTGATATTAAACATTTTACAAATCACTACAGCTTAAAACCACTCTCAGAACGGAGAGGAAGTTAAGGACAAACTCTGCACCATCATCACTTTTGCAATTGTACCAAGTTTGGTGGTGCTTATAGTGCCCCTTGAATCCTAAACGGTACAATGTAAGGCTCACTAAAAAGTTTGCGACTTCTAAGAATAGCAAAAGTGTATATAGTGTTTTTCCTGTAATGTAGGTTATTGATGGGGTTTGTGTTACACCATTATTTTGAGTATTCTCTGACTGCGCTGGGAATTTGCAGTGTGTTGCGTACTTCCCAGCATCAACATTGGGGAAGAAGGGTCATGTGCAATATTAAGGCCCAGATCCCCTATACCATCTGCAAACAAGCCTCTACAATTGAATGCTGCAACATTAAGGTAGAGATAGAAATTTAGAAGTTGCTGCATTGGATTTCTTTCCCCTCTGCCACTAGATTACTTTCTTATAATAATGTTATCATTGTTATTTATAGTGTACTGCAGTTACATGTATTAATTAATAATTTGGCTGTTATTTGATTGGAAAAATTCTAAATTGTAAACCACAAATGTTTCTTGTGCCCTGCCACTCCTCCCCGATGCTTGCCACTCCTCCCCGATGCTTGCCACTCCTCTGCCATGCTTGCCTCTCCTAGCAGTATATCCCTTGAAATAACAGGTTCTCTATGTCTCTTTAGGCCCAGATCCCCCCAAACCATCTGCAAACAAACCTCTACAATTCTACTCTGCGCAACCCACCCACCGGCTCCCCCTAGATTTTCTCTGAAACTGCTATGTTTTCAGCTGCAGGGTTAAAACTAGAGGGACCTGGCACCCTGACCACTTCATTTAGCTGAAGTGGTTTGGGTGCCTATAGTGGTCCTTTAAGAAGATCCTCCAGTGTAGATCTGGGCTGATTCCTCACGGTGAGATCTTGCATGGAGCACCAGACCGAGGGAGACTGACTGTTATTTTGTGTTTCTTCCATTTGCGAATAATCGCACCAACTGTTGTCACCTTCTCACCAAGCTGCTTGGTGGTGGTCTTGTAGCCCATACCAGCCTTGTGTAGGTCTACAATCTTGTCCCTGACATCATTGGACAGCTCTTTAGTCTTGGCCATGGTGGAGAGTTTGTAATCTGATTGCTTCTGTGGACAGGTATCGTTTATACAGGTAACGAGCTGAGATTAGGAGCACTCCCTTTTAAAAGAGTGCTCCTAATCTCAGTTTACCTGTATGAGACACCTGGGAACCAGAAATCTTGCTGATTGATAGGGGATCAAATACTTATTTCACTCACTGTACATCCCAAGTTTGCCCACCTTTTCCTCAACAGTTGGGAAATATAATAATGTAAGTTTAAGATGTGAATGTTGGTCTATGTTACAGTAATTTGAATTTAATTGAAAATCACGGTCGTGATATAAACTTAAATCAATATAAGTCAAAGACTGCATGTAGTTCTACACTGGAAAATTGCAAAGATGGCCAAAAATGAAATCTGCTGCCTTGTTATTCATTAAAATGAGTAAACAAAACCATATGACGAAATGGAAAATAAGGTTTATACCTCTTCCATGTTTTATTGCTAAATTGAACATATAACAGACTCAATTAAGTTTTTTTTTTGCTTTGTTTTTTTCCCCCTACATTTTCCTCTTTCCCTTAACACTTTCAGTTCTGGAATCCAGAGTGCAACTTACAAAATATTTCCAGCGTTTTGAATTGATCAGTAAACTCCAATAATAGGTTTTTATGTAATTTAGGGAATGTGACAAGCAATTTGTCTTTGTAATAAAATCTAATGAGTGTGTTTGCTACAGTAGGAATTGTGGAGAATCGAAAAGCGAATTTCACATCTTAGGTCAAAACAGCAGAATTATAAAAATGTTTCCAAAGCTATTTCTCCACTCAGCTGTATTTACATGCATGTTTTTGCAATTCCCATTCCAGTTCAATACAATTTCCAAATTAGTTAATAAAACCTGATGATTTATGGTCAAAGAATGAAATCTTCTAAACAAATAAAATCTGGTGATGACATGCGCAGCATTAGCAACTCATAGAAGCATTTGCATAAAATACATCACTTGTTCCATCTCTGGACATAGTCATTGTAACGATTCAAGATTACATTTGCTCTGTCACTTCTCACATTTTTGTCGCCAACTGAGAGTTTGCTGTGGGTTGTGATTTAAAGGGAATCTGTCAGACAACTACCATATCCTCCATTCCAGTTGTCTTTTTACATAGGTGAGTTACAGTTCTGTAATACCCACCCTCACTCCTCTCGGAGTCTTCATTGGTTTGTCCTGTTTGGGGATGCTTTCCTAACTATGGCAAACCTCTTGTGTGAGGTGGACATTCTGGCTTTGTTGACAGTATGCCAGCGCCTGAAAGAAGTGACCTTAGTCACACCCTGTCTATACTCCCTACCCAGAACTAGCAGCATCAGCTTAGGGAGTTACCATAGCAACCACAGCACATGTGCTGTTGTTACTATGCTAAAGGGAGAGCAGAAGGACCACCTGTTGGAAGTCTCTTCTGATCTCCCTATCCGAGTCTATGCCAAAGAATAGCTACTTGAAAAAGCCTTGTTGGTGAAACACTTTGAATTCTTTTGTTTTATATTGTATCTATCTATAAATGTTGTTTCCTTTTATTTTTAAACCTGCTAGCCTTTATTGTTTTATATATTTTATTCTATCATTATTCCTGGTATTTCCTGAAGTTCATCTTCCTGGACTACTACCTTCAAATCCTTGGTGGGAATTGTTCCATCCATGCTGCAATATTGAGCAAATCCATTGCTCAAAAAATTGTGAGTTCATTTTCAATTATCTCCAAATATATTGTTATGCAGAGAGCAATATATTACATCTCCTTTTTCTTATATACGTGAGCACAACTGGGTAACCAGTGTATCAACTTTATCCCTGGGTGGGGATTACACCACCATATACCTAAAAATGTTAGCTTTATTACAAATCTCTACACTTTGAGTGTACATTTTATATTTTTTTTCACTTTGTGTACCCTGCAGTTATAATATTGCACCATTGTATTTTACTCTGTCATTTCATGCTCTAATGGGACCTACAAGACTGACTCTGCCTACAGCTTTATCCAATATTGGTTATAATACAACTACATGCTGATATTACTGGAGCTTGTACGTAAGCTCCAAAAAATGTGAGTGGGCATTTAAGCACTTTGTTGTCTGTTATTAATCCAGTATACTAAATGCTACACTACAAGTATGTTTCTATTTCTCTCTCCCTCCTATCCACATACACACCTAATGAGGATGGAATAGACTGCAAAAGAACTCTATTAGAAGAATTTATTAATCTTATTTTTATTTTATATATTCTATAGTATCTACTTTTTGTTCCCTGTTTTATTTTTTCATTTCCTTTTATTTTATTGGCACAACCTCATGTTTGTACTACCTATTTTTTCACTTATCTGTCAGGGCGCCCAGTACACTTGCTTATTCATCCTTTAAAAATATAAAAATATTTATATGCTAAGGGAAAGAAGTGATAAAGTTTATAGCTTGCAGTGGTACTTCATTGTATGCAATCTCAACTTTATCACATGTCATCTGGTTTTTAAAAAGGAGATAACATCTTGATTGAGAAGTGTTATGGAAAAAACATAAATTCCATGTTCTTATCACTTGGATCTCAAAAAACTTGCTCAATGTTTTGTGTAAAGTCACTGTCTTATTTATATGGGACCAAGAAACTTTAAATCGCGGACAGTTTGAGGTCATGGGCAACAAGGTCTGGTACAAATATACCAAAAATACCCTTAAAGGGACACACTGTGATGGAGCTGCCTTTAGTGTTTAAGTGTATTTTATAACATTTGTTCTTCATCTGTGACGTATACGGATTCCCGAGTTCTGTATCAAATACCTGCCATTCAGTTCAGGCTTTCCCCTTGTTCTAAGCAGGATCTGGCAATACTTTCTAAATGTATGAAGCACTGATAAATGAGTGGGACTGCAGTCTAACATGATGACAACTGCATCCTTGCTTGTCTTGGCTTACTCATAACTCAATTCATGGTTTTGTGACTACAGCTAGGGTTCCAATGCAGAAATCCTTTTTGCTCTGCTCCCTCGCGCGCCCTGCTGTGATGCCGGTGTTCTATCAAATTTCCCTACCCGTGAAAATCCCCTACCCTCGTCACTTCCGGTGAGGGGAATCAGCTGGATCTTGTGCTGCACATGCGTGCTAGCACTCCTGCTACTCCTCCACAGCAAGGTCCTGGAAGGTAAGTAAAACTAGTTTTACACTTTCATTATAGTTAGTAAGCTTAGGACATGGGACATTTAGGGTTAATTTTAGGGTTCAAATTAGGGTTAGGAGGGACTTGTTTATATTTAGTGATATTTCACACTTTATTTTAACCCTTACCCCAAGGGTTAGGGTAAGAATAGAGTGTGAGAGAGGTTAAAATAACTTACCTAACCCTAATTTGAACCCTCACTTAACCCTAAATGTCCCATGTCTATAATGAAACTATAATGAAAGTGTAAAACTAGCTTTACTTACCTTCCAGGACCTTGCTGTGGAGGAGTAGCAGGAGTGCTAGCAAGCATGTGCAGTACCTGATCCAGCTGATTCCCCTCACGGAAGTGAGGAGGGTAGGGGATTTTCACGAGGTAGGGGAATTTGATAGAACACCGGAACAGGACGTCATTCCGACCCCTCCTCCATGTTTGAGAATCAGTCTTGATGATCTCAGCCAATGCAATGCTTTCCCATAGAAAAGCATTGAGAGGCTATTACGCATGTGACAAAATGCTGCTCTGTGCCCCTCCTTAGAGATGCTTTGAATTGGTTTTAGCCTAGCTCAATGAGAGATTTGGGTAACTGAGAACCACCATTATGAATTTATTAGCAGCCGTATTTATGTTATCATGCTGTATGGAATATTAATATGCCATGCATACATTTTATCACAGCTTATGGTGAGAGGATTCTTCTTTTCAGAGTATGAGAAATCTATATTTCGATAGTACTGGAAAGTATTTGAAATGTGTAACTCATGACAAATCCAATATGCTTTCCATAAAGGAAATATGTGAGTGATGAGATCTCTTGGCAGGTATACAACAGGAACGATTGGTTTAAATTAAATATCTAACTTTTTATAGGCATTCATATATTGCGAATGGACGGAACGTTGGCAGGGGTAGCGAACTGACAATTTGAAAGGTCACTGTAAACAGACATGTAATTGCCTTAAAGAGCCTGCATGCTATTATAGGCATACACATATCATTATCCCATATTTGTATACCAATTTAGAACTTGAGTTTAACTTTTTTTTTTCAGATGCTCCATTTTCTTTGAATTTTTTTTTTTTAAATTTAGCAAATATCATCACAATCCTGTTTAAACAAGGCAAAACACAGACAAACTTTTTAAAATAAAGCGGGGAAATGAAAAGTTTCATTTCTCATCTTCTCTGTACGTTCTCTCTATGCTGACTATGATAGAATGTATGATGGTATTGGACAAAGAACTAAAATGGAGGTGCTCAGGCGTAGGCTTCTGAATTTTATTTTTCACACTTCACAAATACAGGTTTATAAAATATAGGAAATAACTATATTCCTAAAATTCTTGGATGTGACGGTTCACCTTTAACTTGAATTTTACCCAATATCTTAATTTTGTTATGTGTAAATTGGATAATACTGCAGCTGAATTCATGGCAAATAATGTTGGGAGATAATTTCAAATAGTCACAACGACAATGCCTAGAAATCCTGTCCGCAAAAGACAATTAATTTATATTAAAAAAAAATTAGTACACCAAGATCTGTTGGAATAACTGGCAGCAGGACCTTCAGAATTAATTTGAGGTAATGCATGTTATGGAAGTGTCAACATAAAAACAATTTGTGGCACAAAATAGGGAACTGCAATTGTCTGAATAACAATTGTATTGAAAATTACATTTACAAATAAACAGGTTTTGGTATTTAGTAGCTTCCGGGCAGTGGACAAATATCTGAGTAGGTGTATTCATATCTGTCAAGTTTTTTAGATAACTTACAGCTAGGAAGAACTAATTTGAAGAATTCACTAAATCGTTTTACATGTACTTACTTATATTTTTATTTACATTTTTTTTTTTACTTACCTGGCAGTACACACAACTATTTTATGCTCATCTATACATCCTGCTAGCAAAAATAGCTATTTCAAATTAAAACTAAACTTTCTCCCCACCTTTCAATCAGTCTTTAGCGTAGACACTGGCATATGCCAATGATTGAGTGACATGAGAGTAGCAGGAGAACCCTCCCATGATTCCCCTGCTGCATTAGTTATAGCACAGGTATTCTAACTGCTGTGATTATTCTTCCAGTGAGTGCATCTTGCACACTGCAGGGTGGGGAAGATGCATGGTCACTTTATTTAGGCATTTGGTTTTTAACAGATCACACATGTTATCAGCTGGTACATGAGACAGAATGTAACATATTGTTCCCCTGTGTGTGTAAGCAGCAACATTATGTATTGCTGATACAAGCTGTTTCAGAACTTCAAATGATTGCATGTGTCTTCTTTTTGGTATTCTCAGCAAAGCCAAGCATGTGCTGTCATTGCCACATTTTCCTATTCGTTATTTAATTACTATTTTTTTTTTTTTTTTTGTGGTGTGGGCAAGGCTTTGGTCTGGGTCACATGATTATTTATGTCATGTGTTTGACTTGTCACACATGTCTTTAGGTAAATATGGTTTATTCAGGAATGGAGCAGATGACTTGTGTGTGTAGATGGATATATAGTGTGGTGTGTGGATTTTTTGAGTATTCCTCCTTCTTGGGACCTCTACCAGAGAAGTGGGGGTCTGAGGCGTCTGCACAATATTTTAGCTAGTCCTAAACAGAGATCTCAGATGTCCCACCTTGAATCTGCTGAGGTGACTCTCCCAACCAGGCTTGCTCTCTCGATCAATCTATACACTTGTGTGGTGATAGTGGATAATTTACGGGTCCGTATTTGCGTGTGTTTTCTTCCTGTGCACAGGACAAAAGCCGTGCTCTTTCTATACCCAAAAATCTGAAATTTAACAGTGTTCCATTGTAGAAAAATATGATAATAGTGGAAACTGATGCATAACTGCAGATTTTTGGATATTGCGCACAAGTGCAGCCATACTATCCAACACGGTGTGTAGCCACTGCTTATGTATACCAGCTCTGATGGCCAGGTACTACAGAAATCTACCATTCAGTTTTCTCGGTGGCAGCAAAGATCCTGAGGGACAAAAATGTGGGACCACCCCGGAAAGTTCCATAATTAACGGATTTGAGGCCGAGCAAAACTTTTCATATTTAATTTGAGATTTCCGCCATGCCCCAAAATATTTAAAACCGCATGATACCCAGTGTCCACAGAAAGCTTCCAGACTCTTATGTTTTCAGTAATTTAATCAATTAAAATTTTAGAAGGACGGATGCTTTTGAAAGTCCAGGACTAGTAATGCAAGGCTAGGTGCAATAGATTTAAGTATAGAAATCCCCTCAGTAGTATTTATATCCTGGAACAGAGGTATCTCTTCCATCTTGGCTCCCTGTCTATCATTACTTTTCTGACATTGACCACAGTACGTGGAGGAGATGAAGATGGAAAAAATAAAAAACCGTAACAATGTTTCTTGTTCCCCAATGCAGTTTGTGCCCTGACTGTGCCAGGATTAGAATGGACTGTGAGTTCATTTTCTAAACCTTTAATATGCTTTAAAAAAAAATTCTAGGTACTTTTCAATGTTTAGTCAATGATGCAATCTCCTGACAAGTGACGGTTGTCCTTTTAAAAAATGTTACTTGTTGATTTGTGTATCGCTACCCGTTTAATGGTCAGTAATCCTAGGAAAATCAAACCATAGTGATCATCTGAAGGAGATTAACAATCCATAATTAGATTTTATGTATCATTTCATTTTCCAGTTGACTTGCTGTGACCTTTTACAGTACACACACACCCCGTTCTCCTGGCATTCAGCATCGAGATACTTCTGAATATACATTATTGTCTCTCGGGTCAGCCCTTTTTTCATCAATCATATGATTGTTTGCTCAATAGCTGTTTTAATTTAGAGTTTTTCCTTTCTCAGTGGGTGAGTGCCACTGTTAAGTTATGGCATGCAACGCTGTTCAAACAGATAGAACTAGTTGGGCTTGTTTGTAACGAACAGACATCTACGTGGCTTTAACTGTACTTGATTCAGGTAATTCACTCATTAACCGTCTGAAAATAATACTTACTATGATGTCATTAAATGCATTTGTTGATTGAATGTTCTATCACACCGTTCTATTCAAAATCAAATCATCATAAAAAAGTTGTTCAATGTAGTTTTACTTAACTTATGACCACACACTTTATTTGGAGATAATGGGTATACGCGTATCTAAACATGGCACTGAGCAAATATGGATGGATATATATATACACACACACACATTGTGTAATATGCGAAAATATTCGGACCAGGATACATTTCCAACGCGTTTTATTGACCTGGAAAACCTTTTAAAAAAAAAAATAAAAAAAGAGTTGACCCTTTCAGGAAGTGGACTTACTGTCCTTAGGTCTGAACGGTGATCCATTATAAAGTTGTAGTTAGATAGCCAGGCATACAAGATAAATAAGCACAGGCATTAAATTAGCTCTGTCGCCAAAAATAAACTAATCTGTTTCTATAGTTCCCTGTGTCTGAATCTCTTTCTATTCTAGTTTTTCTGAGAGTTCTAGTTTTTATAAATTACATAAAGATACATTAGGACTAGTGATGTCCCGAACGGTTCGCCGCGGACTGCGAACATATGCGGTAAACTTTGACCCTGTACCTCACTGTCAGCAGACACATTCCAGCCAATCAGCAGCAGACCCTCCCTCCCAGACCCTCCCACCTCCTGGACAGCTCACTAAGAATGCAGCTTCACAATCAATGTAAAATGGATGCTGTCCAGGAGGTGGGAGGGTCTGGGAGGGAGGGTCTGCTGCTGATTGGCTGGAATGTGTCTGCTGACTGTGGGGTCAAAGTTTACCGCATATGTTCGCCGTCCGTGGCGAACCGTTCGGGACATCGCTAGTTAGGACTACTTTTCCTTATGTATAGCAGCCAAGTTGACACAACTTGATAATTGAATTTTAAAGCATGTGCCCACAATTCATGTGTAAAATCAGCCCTCCAGAAGGGCAAACAGCAGTCATCTTGATCAGAGGAGAACAAAATGTTTTTTTTTCCTCCTTCACATTTTCTATTATTTTTGTGACCCACCCACAACAACCTGCCTTGAATCTCACCACTTGAATTAATTCTGACAAATAGAAATAGGCCCAATTTTACTGGCCTCTTGTTTATGCTAGACTAAAATAGGTATGGCTGCAATGTCCATGGCATAGAACAAGTCCTGATGTGTGACTGCACAATGTGAATACAGATGTTTAAGCTCATTTAGGCAGTCATCTTGAAGTAGACAACTGCAAAAATCAGTTTAGTATATAGTTTGATCAATAAATTAATAACTGTGTCCACAACCTAAAATACTTTAGCTTTGTGAAGTGCTTTATGTGTGAAGAGTGTGTCCTCTCATTTTCTCATTTTACAAAAAGTGCAGGTTTCAGTAAACAGTTACACTTTTTTTTTTTTTTATTCATAAGTGAATCTAATTAAATTCCCCCCCCTTCCCCCCTGACTGTAAGAGGCAGCAATTGCGCACAGCACCTTGTAAAGACTTCTTATTAAGCTGCATTGTGAAGTCTGTGATTGGACAGCTACAGAAAATCTGGGCGGGGTTAGATGGGGAGGGCTTGCAAAGGCTGCAGACAAGAGATCTGCATGTTTTGCAAACAGTTTTTAGATATAGCCCCAATGAAAAAAAATGACCATTTAAATGCATGCATGTTTACATTAGGGTTATATATACAAATTGTGTTGTAGTTTTTGTTTGTTTTTGTATTTGGGCAGTGGAGTGTCCCATTAATATTCTGCTACATATTTGCAATGTATAGGTTGCACAAAGTAATATTGGTCATTTGTTAGATGTGTCTCATAGAATCTAGGGTAATAATGCCTTAGTTGTTAAATTTTTAAAACAAAGTTTTTTTTCAATAAACCGTAAATTAATGAGAATTGTCAAAAGAATAATGAATTTTGACTAACATGAGCATGTATTCCTGACCCTATAGTGTTAACTCCACCATCTAGCGCCCCCTCACTCCCCCCGTGCCTAATATAGTAAAATCTTACTTGTATACAAGTCTGCAGCTGCTGCCTCTGCTCCTGACCTGCCTGAATTGCTGACATGATCAAAAGTGATTCTTTGAGCCAAATGCAATGCTTCCAAATAGGATTGGCTGAGCCTGTCAAGGAAGCAAATCAGGGGCAGAGCCAGTACAAGTCAAACATTGCCCTGGCCAATCAGCATTTCCTCATAGAGATGAATTATTTATTTTATTTATTTATAAAATATTTTACCAGGAAAGATACATTGAGATTTCTCTCGTTTTCAAGTATGTCCTGGGTCCACAAATCATTGCATTGTTACATTAGGTACAACAAAATACAAAAACAATATTAATACACAATATATACAAAATTTAACATAGAACAGGCAGGAAATATAATATAATATAATTGAATCAATACATCTCTTTGAGGAATGTTCAGTGTCTCCATGCAGAGGGTGGAGACACTGAATGGTAGCACTGCACACTGTGAAGCACCTCTTGTAGGAGTGAGGAGTGGCCAGTGGAGTTATTCCTAGGCTGTAATGTAAACACTGCATTTTCTCTGAAAAGACCGTGTTTACAGCAAAAAGCCTGAAGGTAATGATTCTACTCACCAGAACAAATGCAATAAGCTATAGTTGTCCTGGTGACTGTAGTGTCGCTTTAAGAAAACATGGAGGGCCACATGCACACGCTTGCACGCATACTTTATTTTAATAATGAACTGGTTCCTCTTTTAAATGTGTCAAGGGCTGTTCGCTTTTTTCCCTCCATGAATCATGTGATTTCACCACTTAAGAAAATGTGTTGTTCATCTAGCAATTTCCATGTAGTTCTATATTTTAATTCTCAGTGGGCTTATGTGCATTTTTAATATAGCCTCTATTTGGGGAAATTGCTCTTAAAACAAGTAATTTGGGGTTGTTGGAACGATCACGTCAAGTAATATTCCCCTGTTGCCATAGAAATATCAACGGCAAACAGTCACTAGGTTAGTAGAGTGTTTCTGGACAGATTTTAATATTGGCTTAATCCAAAAATCCATTATCCCATCAAATGACAGTGTTAGCATTGTTTTATTTTTGGGTGAAACTCCTCTGGGCGAATATTACCACGTCCTGTAAAAAAATGTTTAGTTTAATAAAATAATGTATTATTAATTTGTACATTTGACCAGTGTGTCCATTTGGCAGAATATCCTGGGGCAGTATATATTTTTCATTATTTTTTCATTTATTTGTGTGTTTTCATTTTTTTATTTATTTTTTTAGTTTAGTCTGCTTTATGATGCAACTTGTGTTTATGCAGCTGGTTGCTTTTTAAAAAAAAAAAAAAAATTTTTTTTTTTTAATTCTTAGTTCTTAATCTCCAAATATTTGGTTTGCATTACTTTTAGGCAAAATAAATTGTAAGAGATACTCACTGGAAAACGAACAAAGAATCCTGGTTTGCATCAAGATAGTATCCATAATAAGATTGTTTCAAAAGACTTTTAACCGTTTTGTGTCTCTACAGATGAAACGTTTTCATTCCACAAATTGTGTTTCAGGTTCTAAATACCCAGATAAGTTTCCTGTGCAGAGTAGGACAAAAAAAACGATTTAAAAAAAAATTTTTTTTTTTTTTTTTTTTTTTAATATAGTATGGCCATATCTCATTAAAAGGATTCTGTAGTGTCAGGAAAACCAAGCCCTTTTCCTTGCACTATAGATTTCGAAGATGCCTCCCTCCCGCACGGCTGAAGGGGTTAAGACCCCTTCAGTCACTCGCCTGAATCCAGAGCTGATGTCCCTCAGCGCTGGGTCAAACTCTGTCCATGCTTCTCCCTCGCCGGATGACATGCTCGCATTAGGATTTATTCAATGCTTTCCTATATGGAAAATCTGACGTTGGAGGTCTTCATTCATTACGTGAGGACGTCCAGCATCAGATAACAGACCAAAGGTCCGTTTCAATTCTGGAAGCCCCTCTAGTGGCTGTCTGGTAGCCAGCCACTCGAGGAGAAGTTAACCCTGCAAGGTAATTATTGCAATTTCTCAGAAACTGCAGTAGTTACCACTGCATGGTTAAGGGACAAGGGGCATTGCACCCAGATCACTTCAATGAGCTGAAGTGGTCTGGGTGCCTACAGTGTCACTTTAAGTACAGATAGCGATTTGTCTAGTAGTAAGCTAAAATAGTAATTCTCAGCAATCCTGTACTAAATTCTACAAGATATCAAAAATCTTTTTCTGTTCTAGGTCTTATCAGTTCTGTTCCCCATGTAGTTGTCTTTGTTTTTTTTGTTTGCCTCTACTTGCTGGTTGGAGTTTTTCTCCAAGGCTGCTGACAATGTGTCCTCAAGTTGAATAATTTATTTATATATTTGTATACCTTTGGATCATTTAACCCCTTAAGGACACATGACATGTGTGACATGTCATGATTCCCTTTTATTCCAGAAGTTTGGTCCTTGAGGGGGTTAAAGATTAATTTTTTTTATAATTCTTTATTTTTGTTGTGCATCGATACAGCATGAATATCACAGTTACAAGATTTGAAGCCGCATAAGTTAATATCGCGTGCGTGTGCGTGCGTGTGTGCGTGCGTGTGTGCGTGTGTCGGTCAAGAGTACAAACAAGGTAAGCACCAACAGTAAGTATTTAATCACAGAGACATAAAACCAGATATTCACAGGTATCGACTCCGTGACTTATGCTAAGACTGAGTTGCTGGAGGATATGCACAAATTGTTAGTTGATAATAACTAATAAGAAAAAAATCATGTTAAATCTTAGTAGTGATGAATCAGGATAACAAAAAAAACCCACAGAAACCATTGGAGCTCCAGGAAGCTTAGAGCCTCGATACTGCTTAGTATAGTCCGTTTTAACAGAAGTCTACACTGTAGTTTAGGAAAAATCCGTAGCCCCAGTAGTTGCTTACATAGCCAGCCGTTAATTTCATAGTTTGTGGCGAAGGTTTGCAGAGGTTATGCTTGCATAAACCCCATAAACTGCAGGAGCCAGCCCAACCCTCACCTATAGATCGTTTTTAGGGACACACTAAAAATTTTGGCTGCCGAAATTTTCAGCTGAAAATGGGCCTATCCCGTTTTGGCCGAAAACGGGTTAAATTTGTCGAAAAATAAAAAAAACTATATATTTTTTTATTTTTGTAGTGCATAGTTTAACAGACATGCTTGCATTAACAATTTCGATGATTACTATCTTTAATTGTGATATATAATGATAACATGAAAAGTCAAGAATACTGCTCTTGGGATGGGGGGGAGAACACTATGGGACAGGGGAGGAAAGAATACTAAAAAAGAGGAACATTAAGCAGGGGGGACCACTAAAAGAGAAGGGAGAAGGGAAGTTTTTCATATTGGATTAATTCAATTCATTAAAAAGTCTAATATTAAATAAAATTATAGGAAAAAAATTTTTTTTTTAAATCATTTAGGGAAAAAGTCAGTTTTGGTTTTCAACCAAAGGCATCCTGAATTTTCGGTTTCGGCCCAGAATTTTCATTTTGGTGCACCCATAATCGTTTTTGCTATGATTTACAAAAGACCAAGATGTAGGAATAATTTTTACACAGTTTTTAAATTAATTCAGTAGACTCGGTAAAAAAACGGTAAGAGCCCTTTATGATTGAAACCCCTACTTCATAGTGGTTGATAACCATAATGTCTTCTTTCACAAATTCTGTCCCAATACTCCGTTTCAGTTTTAGCCCAGCTTTGAACACCTGTAGTCTAACCTTTTAAAATAAAGCCATTTACAAGCATTGACTTCATAGCAGGCACCATTTCTCTTAAAACAAACGAAAAAAAAGATAAAATCCTGTTGTATTTTCCGTGAAGCATAACAAAATATAACAAAAATCTGCTTTGTCACTACGGTATGCGAACTTTGTATTCACAACACTCCTTCACATGTTTCCATAAATACCCTGATGTGTTTGTCCGCATACTGCTTAGTTGCCAAGTTATACATTGTATACATGTTAAGTGCTTGTGTAGTGTGCCTATTATTACACTAGTTCAACGTGCTTTAACCTCACAAGTTTTTAAAATCTTTTTGTTGACCATGGTATAGGAATAAATTTACCTTTTGATCTAATCAGAGAGCATGCTTGGTGCCATCTTTTATCGCCTCATCTGGCGCAAGCAGTTGTACCGCCATGATGGGAATGCTGGCACCTGTTTTAAGCACGTGTGAAGATCAAAGTTTTACAAGGAAAGAGGAGCGAAAATAAATTGCCTACAAACAGATGTTGCACAGCAGCGTTTCACGTGTTGCTTTCTTTAAAGCAGACCAGGCAAACGAAATCTACAAACAATATATACCATCAAAGTAATGCAGGTTCTTTGCCCAGTTCAATCTGAACACACTCCAGTATTGCTCTTTAAAGTGGTACTGCCATTATATACTTAGCATTAGAATAACTGCAGCCCATTGTAGTAGTTATGGTGCAAGGAGTGCAGTGGCGCACTCCGAGCGTAACCAGTCAACCAGTTTAAGAATGGTTTGACATTTTACCTGGGCCACTCTTGAATTCACTGAGCTTTTCAGAACTAACTAGTTAGTTCACAAATGTTTGTAAATGCAGATTGCATGGCCAGGTGCATGATTTTCTCTGAAAAGTCAGTGTTTACGTAAAATAGGCTGCAGGGACAAGGTATAGTCACCAGAACAACTACATTAAGCTGTAGTGATCCTGGTGGTGATAGTGTTTCTTTAAGAATTTTATTTTTGTTGTTGAAAATAAAGCTTCGTAAGTTTAAAAAAAAAAAAAACTGGCTCCTAGATTTAAAGCTAATTTGTCAAGTCCTGGGCTATAGTGTCCCTTTAACAATTGCAATGTTTCTTGAACATTGACCTCAATAAAAGTAGCTAAAACAACAAAATGAAGCACTGACATGGATGGCGAGCTATTTTTGGGACAGTTCTAAAATGCTTCATAATTCTCTTCCTTACATTCTGATGACATGGGCATGTTATTACCCTATTAAATGCTGCCTCTGCTTGTAGCATGCATTACGCTATCCTTGTATGTTCTCTAAAATCTTCTACATACAGTGCAAAATGGCGGAGTGTCAAACTTGACTTTGCCAGGATCTTTCCAAAGTCATTAGGAATAACTTCAAGCAAATGGACGTGTAAAATTACATTCTAACCTGGACTTCCAATGTCCTCATCTACATAGGGTGCAGTATGTTTGATATTTTGGTTCCTAAGCGGTACTGTTTAGTTCTATGCCAAGACAGAGTCCACTTCACTGTCCCATCCTTAGTCAACGTTCTGATATGCCTACTTGCTAATGCTTAGCTTATCTTCTGTCACACTCCAACCTTCAGCTAGAATAGAATTGCGTTGTAACATGACACTGGGCTTATTTATATTTCCAATTGCTAGGCCTCAAATGTGTTGTAAGCATCCAGGGGCCCTACAAAAACCATGGTCACCCTGTATACAGGGTGTTGGCTCATAGTGGGATGAGCAGCCCTGTTTCAGGTCAACATGTTCCGATACTTTTCATTTCCTAGAATAACTTCTCGCCATTCTGTGTAACATTGTCAGCAAGTATCCACAGCTTGCATATTTATGTTTCCAACAACTTGGAAAAATGACACACCCCACAAAAGTGTGTTTTTAATTATAAGCGAATGTAATCGTACACAAAGTGAGGTCAACTCTTTGAACTGAATACACTATGCAAAGCCTACAATTGTGATCCAGAAATAAGTGGTTGGTTAACCTGACTGGAGTAATTAAATAAATTATACGGAATAGCGTTACCAGATTTAGAACTGCTGACAGGGTTCTGTGGTACAGGTATTTTATAAAACATTTTCCGATTGTTTTGGGTAATTGGTGCTGTCTGTATTTGTAATTCAGACGTCAATCAGAATTAAAATGCAGAAATGTGAAACCTAATAGAATCTACAAATTCTTCTGTCAGATTGGAGTACAGACGAAAGCATTGAAGGCTGCATTCTGGAGAAGGCAATCGAATAAATCAGTGGGCAACTTGAGTCTAAAAATTGAGTAGCTTTTAGGGATGTTAAAATAAGACTATGAATAGATTTGTGTATGTATATACATATTAATGTTAGTCCAATAATAAGGTAACGTTGCATCTTGTCTACTGGACTAATACGGCTAATCCAATCTACACTATTTTTTATAATTTTTATATAAACTAATTTTTTATATATATATATATATATATAATTTATTTATATATTTTCACGCCGATGCTCAACAACTAAGATCCTGGAAGAATGGAAACTGCCTCACTTGTCCTGGCTCGGTCGTAATAAAAATGAATAGACATGTGTAATTAGTTTCGGGCCGAATATGAATTCGGACGAATTTTGGGCAATTCCGAATGTCCGAAGTGTCGGAGTGCCGAAGTTCGGAAGAAGAGTATTGCCTAAGTACTAATTTACTTACTCAGTGGAAGAAGAAGGTTACACTGTATACAATTTTAAATAAAAAGTATACAAACGTAGCCAGGATTCAGCTGTGTAAGCATTTGCAACAGTTACAACAATCAAGTAACACACATTCATATAAAATGTAAGTTACTTGGACAGTCAATGTAATGACAGAAATGAATAAGTAGATAACTCCATAATTCCCACGGTCTTTCAGACAAATTTTACTAATACTAAGTAAAGATTACTTAGTATTAGTAAATGATGCCGCTCCTCGCTATACCGCGAGTAGTGGCATGTCTATTAACCAGTGAGCAGCCTGTGGCTGCTAACTGTAAAAAACAAACAAAAAAACACGTCCCTCTCCCCTCTTAAACTGAAGGGGGACCTATTGCCCCCCCCACCCCTGAACGGTAGGTGGGGGCCCTAAAGTAAAATAAGGGGGGTCCTATTGTCCTGTTCCTGACCCCCACCCATGAGCGGTGGATGGGGGCCCTAAAGTAAAGTAATGAGGGTGGACCTAATGTATATACAATTTAGGTCCTCCCCCCTCATTCTATTTTAGGGCCTCCACACCTGAGCGGTGGGTGGGGGCCCTAAATTAGAATGAGGGGGAGGACCTAATGTCCTCCGGGGTGGGGGTGGGGGCGGGGGCCTAATGTCCTCCCCCTGCCCCCCACCCCTTGGGCCTAGTCATGCTGGTGTTGAATTTGCCTTCAATTTGGTTGTTGCCTATGTGTGTGGGCTTAATAGCACCTTTTGAAGCTGCGTTTACATGCGGCTGCTCCGGTCCTCCGTCAGGCCACGCCCCCCTGTTTCATTTTATTTTCATGAATGAGTACTTTTGACAGGTGAACTCTAATTCCTGTTGTTGTCGAGCCTGGACATGACTGAGTTAATTTTATGATTAGCTAGATTTATTGAAGACTAAGCAATATTGACAACATTAAAGACTTGCAAATGAACATGACTGCTATAGTGATACATAGAGTTTATAGTTATGGCAATATACAAAGGGTGTGGATCTTCTCCACATCAAATCTACCTATATGCTTAAGAATTTGAAGTTTTAGATTTGGCAAGATCTATTCCTTGGCAGAAAAGGTTAAACACAATCTTGTGCAATCTTTAATGATCCCCTCCCTCACTCTCCCAATAATCTCCGATATATGTGAGGAATCCAGAAACCATTCTTAGGTAGACATTAGGTAAAGTGCAATTTTATATTCACAATTCCATAAAGCTCTGAAATATCAACCAGTTCTTAGTCTTTGCAGATATGCAGCAAACCGCACACATTAAGAGTGCTCTCCATAATGTTCACTATATACAAAATGTGTATATATTATATATGTTGTGGGGAGGTTAACCAGTCTTTATATTACCCATGTCTCATACCTGCAGACTGCAGCCATTTTGGACAAAACAATAATGCGATAGATGCATGTGTGTTTTTGACTTTGCCAGGACTTTTAAAATAAAAAATTCTGCTCTGGACATTCATATGTTAAAGCCCAATAAGTGCAAACATACAATCTCCATTACCGTGGGTGAGTGTGTGTGTGTTTATTATAACTGTAACTGTGGAAAGTTGTGACTAGCAAAAACTAGTAAAACATTTTTGTTGAAATAATGTTAAGATGGAAAATGGATTATAAATATACTAGATATATGGGTTGTGCTTCCTCTCTACCATAGTCTATTGTTCTTCATTTCTATATTAAAGTTGGCCATAAATAAACTGTTCCTTTGAGCACTAGTTCTGTCTAACAATTCCATAGCTGATAAGAAGACAGTGTTTGTGTGATATGCATAAATTGATCTGTGAGCTATTTTGTTTGACTCTCTCAAATGCCCTAAAATGCTATTTTGGCAATTGTTCACCACACAGCACTGTATCACAGGTGAAGATGGACAAGGTAGGAAATGTATGTCAATCTGCGCTTAGCAAATTAAATTATATATGGAGCTAATTAGGACCCTTATAGGGGCCCAAACTGGCTAAATCCGTAACCAGGTTGTTCAGCGGTTTGCATACCTTACACGTCCAGAAACCAGGTTTATGATGTGTCTGCATGTGTAGGGATGTCAAAAAAAGGTAGAGAAGTTAGGGCAATTTTCTCAGAATTTGCTGTTAAACTTTCCAAGAAAATAATTCTGGTCTATTTGTATCAGTCCAGAAGCAGCTCACTCAATGCATCAAACTATTGAGCAAGATTGTAACAGAATATCCCCCAAATCACATGATATTGGACCCATCTGAAATTATATGAATTAAAATAAAAAAATTAAAAAAATAAAAAGCCAGGCATAGATTTCCGTTCTGAAACATCCCCCCAATTAAAGAAATAATAAAAATAAACTAAATTTAAGAAGAGGAACACTAGATTGCATATTATTCAGAGGGTATCTTGGACATATTCACCCAATTTCTCCACACTCTGGGGGCAGTATTAAAGGGGCACTGTAGGCACCCAGACCACTTCAGCTAATTGAAGGGGTCTGGGTGCAATGTCCCGTATCACTTAACCCTAGAGTGGAAACTGCAATAATTACCTTGCAGGGTTAAGTCCTCCTCTAGTTTTTTGTTTGTCTAAACGAGTTTTTTGATTTTTGGTTGTCTAAACGACACAGGACGTCCTCACGGTCTGCATGAGGACTTCCATCGTCACTGGAATCCCCATAGGAAAGCATTGAATAATGGTTTCCTATGGGGAAATCCTAATGCGAATGCAGCCATTGCCGCGCATGCATGTTAGGTCTCCCCACCTGGCGGAGTAGCGTGGGCGGAGCATGACCCAGCCGCTGACCGAAGGGGTTTTAATCCATGTGGGAAGGGGGGCGTGAGCGAGGGGGGGCACTGTAGGATTCTATAGTGCCAGGAAAACTGCTTTGTTTTCCTGACACTAGAGTCCCTTTAATAAAACGTATCTGTATGGTGGTTTATCTGGAAATAGGAACTCTTAATACATTTTTAGGTAATTTTTATTGATGTTGATTGACAATGTTATTCACTAAAAGTTGAAATTGTTGGGAATTTAAAGTTAATTTGAAATTTAAGGTCAAAATAATCAAAAATTCCTCTTATCCGCTATAATACTAGTTTTGCTATTTTTGCCTTGAGCTTGAAATCCACTTTCAATTCCTGAGCATTCTCATTTTACTCCATAGCGTAGCAAAGAGGCACTCCAGGGTAGGAGAGAACAAAGTTGGTCCCTACTTGATAAGTTCAGTGCACCGATTAAAATAACTTGTTTCACTGACTTCGGAGCGGGTGAACTAAACCAACCCTGATCGTACACGAGGCGTCTGCAGCGTGAAGTTGATTTAAATGAATTCCTGCCATGCTAGTGATCGAGTCAGCTGACGCCGCTTTACATGACATAAGATGCAGGGAACATACATTATTAATGCACTTTCCTGAGATTAAGTTTCTCTACCATTATTTAGCTGTCAATTCTGCTTTGTGACGTTGCCTTTCCGTGATGTTTGTGTTTGGTTTTTTTTCCTCTTTATCATTTGGAGGAAATTAAATATTGCTAATCAAGGGATTTCTAAAGGAAATAGGGTGCATTGTTATCCAAATTTTCATTGAGGGAAGGAAAAATAGGTTAGGCCTCTTTGTGGATTTTTGTTTTTTAATAAATTAGTGCATTTATTCAGTAAACTCTTAGCTGTAGTGAATTGGAATAATAATGTTAAAATATAGCTGGCAAATATGGCTCTGTTATAGCACCTTGGCTAATATATTTTAAAGGGTTACTCCAAACCCCATAAAAACTTTAGTGATTTGAAGTAGTGGTGGTGCCTGGAGTCTGTGCAGCGTTTTACTATGAAACAAACCAGTGTGCGAGGGCAACCCATTGCAAAACTTGCTTGCCCCATTACCAGGTAACTGGGCCATAGTATCATAACCACTACAGCAGGCTTTATTAGTTATGATGCTGTGAGTAATAACCCTTGTTAGGCATTTGGATTTCAGTTTGCTACAGTTCCAAATACCTTATCTTGTAAGGTTACCCCCCCAAAAAATCCACCCAGCATAAGTTGCTGTTATCTAACCTACCACAATACCAAACATGGATGGGAGCCTTGATTAACTATTTAAGGAAACAATTAAGCTGATGTTAATTTTTTTTCTAATTTAACGTTTTTGAGGGAGATTTATTAAAGGAATAATATAGGGTCATGAATACAAACCTGTATTCCTGACCCTATAGTGTTAAAAACACATGTAAGGCTCCCTTGCCCTCATAAAAGAAGTGAACAACTTACCTTTTTTTGCTAGCGCTGGCTCCTCCCCCGATCCACCTCCGTGGCTAACATCAACAAAATTGATGATCTTAACCAGTCACAATGCTTTGCTATAGGAAAGCATTGGATTTAATGAGATCGTCAATTCTGATGATCTCAGCCAAGGAGGCTGGGCTGGGGCCAAACACCGCCCTAGCCAATCAGCATCTCCTCATAGAGATGCATTAATTCATTGCATTTCTATGGGGAGCATTCCGCGTCTCCATGCAGAGTGTGAGGACGCTGATTGGCAGTGCTGCATGCTGTGAAGCACTGACCCAGAAAGCACTTCTCGACCGGAGGTGTCCCTAGGCTGAAAAGGCAATGTTTACATTCAAAGCCTGCAGAGACTGACTATACTGTTCTTTTGGTTTGCATGGTGATGGCTCCTTATTAAGCACTTTACCACAAAATAGCACCTATTTTTTTCCCTTGATAAATAACCTTTATAATTAATAAATAACATATATATTGCTCGCATTATATGGTCACGAATGCCTATATGTCTTAAACATGTAAGACAAGTTCTACATATATGGACTCACAGCAAAGAGGCATGGTGCAATAATGCTGTAAACATGTCCCCATTAGACAATGTGTGAAGATGGACAATGTGTGAAGATGGTTCATGTGGGGAGGTAGCAGAGTTCTGACCACTGGTTTAGATCCCCACTAGATCAGAAAAACCGGATGCTGTGTTGTATACAGATGCATGAATTTTACATGTCTATTGTTTCGATCTGTTTTGTTACTGGTATGTCTCATTATTTTTTTGTATTGTATTTATTTCTGAAAATGGGCTACCAAGTGCCAACACGTTAGCTTCTCTACTGACCGCTCATTATGACCGCTCGTTATGGCCTCCCATCTTGCTCCTTCTTTAGTGTTCTAAAATCTGATAAAGCGGCTCACCAACGGCTTCCAGCCCATACACCAATCTTTGTCTATTTGTCAAGCAACTGCTACATATTTTGTTACTTACTTCTATTTGATCAGATGTGTATATGTGAAAGCTGTCTCACAAGTGTCTTGAATTTGTAATGCTTGTAATCTTTTTAGAGACCATTTTCGTTTGACAGGTGCACTTAAAAAGCCTTAGGTTCACTACCTTTTCATTAGAAACAGGAAGAGTGTTTGTATTTATTTAATACTCGCCTCCTCCTTTGGGAGTTCATTTAAGGTCTGTCTCTACTAATCGTTCTATAGTTTCTTTGTCTCTGAATATAGTACATTTACCCTAACCTTGTTTGAATGGCATTGATTCTGTCATATCTGTCTCCAGTGGAATGCAAAATGTACTGTAATCCGTATTACCTGATTTGTGTACCTTAATTGTGGAAATGTTCAACGCCCCCTATACCTCCTCAGAGCTCTTTTTAAATGCTCCTTGCCATTTTGTTCTGTAGCGCAACGAGTTACCAACTTCTTTAGAATCTAGGTGACCCAGCCAAATGTTTTGCTAGTACATGCAGACATTTAGACTTTCTATCTCCCGTTTTAAGTCACTCTTGCATACCATGCAATCCACACGCACAATCATATTAAATACATTAGTCACTCTCATGCATACATCAAACTAGACTGTTTCACGGGCAGTGAAATTCAACAGAAGAAATAGAGAGTGGCTGGAGATGCTGGACTTAACATAACAGAGAGACAAAGTCAATAAACAAGCCAAGCTCAGCAATTCAGATAGGCTGACATCGATTAAACAAGCCGGATCAGGATAATGAAGCTATTAAAAATTCCTATAAACAAGCCGAGGTCAAAATCCGGAAACGAGGTCGCCTGGGTGACTCGAGCAGTTCCGAACCAAAGATGAAGTTTTGAACGTTCAGCACTTAAAGACACGCCATTTGAGCGGGCTGCGTCTGAATTGCTATGTGGAATTAGAAAGGTGCATTAGTCACGCAGGACCGGTGAAGAAGCCCGCATTTGCGTTGATAATTGGGGATAAGTATCCAGACATACGCATATAGTCACATAGACACAGGCACACACAACTAGAAAGTCACTCACATACATTGACATGCATAACTAGCCAATCCTCAACCTGCACTCCTATACATAGATAAAAAAAAAACACACAAATATTTGATAAGGTGGGAGAGAAAATGGGAGTTCACTCAGTTTATCCTTGGTGTGTGTAATGGAATGCAGGTGGTCTCTGCCTCTCTGACTTTGCAGAGACCGCTTTTCCACTACCCTTGGATACCCAGTTGCTGTGTACAGATTGTGCAATGGGAGGATGTGGAGTTCAACACTTCTTGTTGCTGTATTGGTGAGGACGCCTCTAAGGAATTCAAGGGGAGATGGGAAAGTTGTTAAAGTATTGTGACATAAACTGCTCACTATAAAGATAACAGATCCTTAGACAAGTAAGCTATGTTTCTTACAGATATCTAATGCTCAATATACTGTTTTGTTCTTAATATTCATTTACTTGCTCTGTTTGTTTCAGTCTGTGCACTCTTGACTGTATATAGAGTTATTACCAAAGATGTTTGAGCAGGTGTGTTCGCCCTGTCACCTCACCTGACCTCAGTCACCTTTACCTGTACATTGTACATATCCTGCAGATGTTCCCTGTAAACCAGGAACTAGCCAGTAACAAACCGGCTCCTTCTGGCAACAGTGAGGGCCTACTTTGCTGATAGAGCTCCGGGGCACAAAATAAAAATAACCTAAAAAACCCACAACACCTGCAGCAACATTGGAAAGCACACCATGTCTGAAATTCCACCTGTTATACTGGCACCTGGGGGGAATTACTTATTCCTATTTTAGTTTCTCTGGTCTTGAGCTTGAAAATAACCAGCGGATCTTGTCAGCGACTATTATTAAATTATGTAGATCTGGCAAAGGAACTGAAAACTTTAAAGGGACACTCTGCTCAAATTAAAAAAAATATTTGGTAGGTATACCTGTAGTGCAAACATGCATGAATTTATTTATGTATATATTCATTGTGGTATATCTAAATTGGCTTTCTCTTTCTTTTGTCTGCTGCCCTTGCAAGTCCACCCTTTCTAACCCCGCCCAGACTTTCTGTGGCTGTCCAATCACAGACTTCCCAATGCAGCTCAATGAGAAGTCTTTGCAAGGCAGATGCTCTGAGCAATTGCCTGACTCTTGAATTTAGATCTAAACAACCAGGAAGTAAAAGGACCAGTTGTCTGACAGCCAGGGGGGTATAACACACTCTTCACACATAAAGACACTTCATCAAGCTAATGTGCTTTAGGGGTCTCGCAATTCTCTTCACAGCTAAACCCTACTAGTATTTTTCATTGTTAATGTGAGAGAAAGTTACAAGCCAACAATTCCTTTTAATCTGATTGTCTGATAAGTGTGGACATAACAAAAGCGTTCCCTCCAAAGTATTTTAAAACAGACGTGTCTCTTTGCAATTAATCCCAACCTCTGTCTCACAGGTGATTACGTATGTTTCTTAACCAGTCATCCTCTGCAGTTGGTGTTAAACAGTGTTCATACACTGCTACTGCAGTAAGAAATATCCTCCACTGGGATATATACCCATTATTGACATCAGATAATATCAGAAACTCACTGTGGTAATAGTGATTTTTGATGATCGGGACAGCTTACATGGCTTAAAAGAACACTGTAAGGTCAGGAAAACCAACATGTATAATCCTGACCATGTAGTGTTGGTTGCCCCCCTTAAATAAGTAAAAACTATCTAGCATTAAAGGACCACTATAGTCACCCAGATCACTTCAGCTCAAGTCCCCCAGGTTTTAACCCTGCAGCTGTAAACATAGCAGTTTCAGAGAAACTACTATATTTACATTGCAGGGTTAATCCAGCCTCTAGTGGCTGTCTTCCTGACAGCCACTAGAGGCGCTTCTGCGACGCTCGATGCGAAAAACACATTGAGCACGCAGAACGTCCATAGGAAAGCATTAAGAAATGCTTTCCTATGGGCGTTTTTAATGCGCACGGCTCTGGCCGTGCATGTGCATTCGGCTCCACTCGGGAGCTGACGTCGGAGGGGGAGGAGAGGCGCTGGATAAACCCCTACAGCCCAGTGGGAGGGGGCCCTGAGGGTGGGGGGGACCTAAGGATTATATTGTGTCAGGAAAACGAGTTTGTTTTCCTGACACTATAGTGATCCTTTAAGCTGTAGTTCTGGTGACTATAGTGTCCTTTTAACACTATAGCACAGTCTCTCACTGACTGGTGTAAAATCTTAAAACATGCCATTTTAGCACCATAAAAAGCAAATGTTTAAAAAGGTTTATTAGCAAAATGGTTTTATATCTTAATATTAAGGTATTCGCACAGAGCTGATAATGCTGGACTGCAGCTGTGGACGGTATTAATGGACTCCCCAGCAATCATTGATGGCTGTTAAGAAAGTGGCATTTACGGTAGTGAAATGTTGTTGGAGATACTGGAGCGATTTATTTATTTATTTATTTTTTTCATGAAGTTTTTTTTTATGTTATCTAGGTAGAAAATCCCATACCTGTTCTGTATAAAACGGAATCTCACACAGCGGGCTTTTTGATTGGTTAATAGTCCAGCCGTATCCTGTGATATAATTAGAAGCAGTGTTTATTTTTAGAGAGGAGTATTGAAATATTGTTACTGAAAACATTACTTGCTCTTGTTTCTTGGACGTACTGGCCCTACTTAGGAAACCCTAGCTAGTGAGTACCCAAAACAAAAATACAAGTGTACCTTTAGGATTTATGGAATCTTTGCTTACTTTCCTGGAATAGTTTTGTGATCTGTGCTATAGTGTCACTTTAATCCTCCCTTTTCTCTTGCGATCTGTCTCACCCTCGTAATATATAGGAATCTGTTAGGATTGTAACATTCAGGGTCAGAAAGACATTCACAAGATTTGTGAGAATACGATCACTTGTTCTATAAATGAACATCTTTGGCCCCATTGACTATTTAGTCTTTTCATGCTATACCCATAACCGTCTGGTTCAGGCTGGAATGTTCAAAGACACAAAGTGTGTATGTGCATATATACACAAACAAACAAGATCCAGCGCACTCATTAAATACCAACTTAAAGTTTTGTTGTTTTCTCAATTAGTTTTTTGTTTTTTTTTCAAACACCTGCCCTGAGTTGTGGAATGGGGGTTTAATTACAGTATATTGTCATACATTGCACAAGCTTGCCAAAATGCCAATGTACCGTATTTTTGGCAGGTCCTATTCTAGAAAATGAATGCCTCCTGTTGTGAGATTAGCCAATTTACTTGGGAAATTCTTCCTCCTGGGGAGGATGCATGTACCGCATGTGCGTATGTAGTGGGTATATGGGGGTATGATGGCAGGAGGTGTAGTGGGTATATAGGGGATATAATGGCAGGGGGTGTAGTGGGTATATAGGGGATATAATGGCAGGGGGCTTAGTGGGTATATAGGTGGTATGATGGCAGGGGATGTAGTGGGTATATAGGGGTATGATTGCTGCTTTATTAATTTAATCATTAAAATATATCCACCAAGCCGTTAGTAACAGTTGCATGCAGGATGTAGATTCTAAAAAGATCTATGAGAGTACTGCCATGATGACCATCTCATATGAACATCTGAGCTATATTCTGCTTCTGTAAGCAATGTTGTCATTTCTTCAAGATATCAACTGCTTTTTCAAATTCATTACAAGAATAAAACCATCTGTATGAATTTGAAAGAATCTGTGAATTTTATGATCTGCAACATTGGTCACAAACTAAGGGCAGGCTGGAAAAATTACGGAATCTCCCCAGTTGGCCCAATAAATCATATTGGTTTATAAGCCGACCAGCCACAGTTTTCTCCTAATTCTGCTGTTGAAACCTTTTATAGCTATCGTTTGTGGACGATGTGCATGCCATATTGTTTCATTCCAGGGACTCTGACTCCATCCACTGCACAGTTTCAAGTGTATTTGAAGGGGAATACTCCCATAATATTACAAAGTTTAACACTGCCAGCTTCAGCTAATTTCTGATTTGCAAATATGATATGGAAGAAACGGCAGTTAGCAGTAAGGTACCAAGGTAGCAATATACCAAATCGAGTATATAAGTCTATATGTGGACCAGTAAACCCAATACAGTAAGCACCTCTCTCTATGCATATTTTTATATGTAAAATAGGAGTTGGTTCAAATAAATAACATAATTGGCTATGATTACACAATAAAAATTCTTATCATCGATCCCCTAAATACAATAACTAAATTACTTATAGCTAGTGTCCATAAATATATATGTCCATTTAATTTATATTTAGAATGCCATGCAGCTTGTCCTCGACTCTCCAGACAACTGTTTAGTAGACAATATATCTGAAACCGAAGCACAAAGGGGCTTTCGTGGGATAGGAGGGTTATTAAATAAAAAAACAAGATAAAGGAGTCAAGACAAGGGTACTTACAAAGTGCCAATACCCCTACCTGTACTGTACTTCAAGATGCAGAGAGTCACAGGGCAGTCTGTCTGGGCTCAGCTCTGTCTTGCAAAACATTCTGCTGATCTGGCAAGATGCCACCGCTACGCTGTGCACTGTAGCCGACCGCCGTGCATGTTGCTCCTTACATCCAGCTCATGTTGATGCTGCTCACATCCGGTGGAGAATTGGCTGCGGCATGCTGTGGGGCCGTGACAGGATGGCTTGTGGATAGGTGCAGCCATGGCTCAAAGCGGCCCCAGGGCAGGGGCCTACTGGGAAATTTCCCGGTATCCCGGTTGGCCAGTCCGGCCCTGACCGGCACCCAGTCCGAGGCTACCTCATTGAAGGCTCAGACATAGATGAAAGAGTTCTATCTACTGAACTTTGTCGTTAAACTCTTCATTAATTGAGGACAGCACCCAGGACCTCTAGGCACCATAACAACATCATTGAAATGTTGTTGGTATGGTGCCCAAAGTTTTGCTTGAAGTTAATGCAACAGTGCTAATCTTATCACACACATTTCTATACTGCTTGAATTATGAGGACTCCTGCTTTAGTTTTATTTCTACAACCTTAAATCTTTGCTGTGAATCTTGTCTAGGTGTATTTGTGGAGTAAACACACTTCAGGCTGAGAGTAAGGGGAAGTAAGGGATACTTTACTTTTTTGCATACAGTGAAGGATCGATGTAATAATGACTAAAGCCTTTTCTGAACAATCTCCTCCTGGTGCCATTGTGATTTTTATTCCTACGCAGGAAATAGCCCAGGAGACCACAATGAAATCTGACCTAGCTATTACATTTATTTTTCAGATAAAACCCATCATTTTCAAATATTTTCCATAGTGGGCACTCATCCCTGCTAATGCATCTAGCATTTCCTTCTAATGTCTTCTCATCGTCCCTTTCACCACCTTGCAATTCAAACTGTCAGATTAAAAATATGTATATAGCACCACCATATTGTGCAGCGCTGTACAGAGCAAATAAAAAATAGCATGTACTTAAAGAGGCGGGGAAACCTTTACCCAAAAGATTCCAATTTGGGCATATAGTCTATTAGTCAATCGATTTACAGATGTGCAGTCTCTCTGTAGCGTATGTGTGTTTACAAAAATGTAAAATAAGGTCAAACAGATTCTTTGAACAAATTTACCAAATCAGATTCCATTTTAGTTTTATCCAAAACGTTGCTGTCCTGCTGTAAGAGATTTATAATATTTGTATTCACTCAAAAATTTCTAAACATTCGATCTGCTTTTCCAGAAACAGGAAAGCGTTATCCTGCAAAATGTTATCCCTCCTATGTTTAGGCCTCTGTTCAGACGCAGGGAGATTGATTTTGGCGTTTGGCCCTGTTCCATTTCATTGTGATACACTGTATTCCTGTTACATGTTCTGTTTATTAACTGGGCTATTGTTTAACTGGAATACTGGAGATCTTATTATTTTTAATTTTTTTTATTGGGCTGCAGGTTTGTTTTTGTTTTATTCCCCGTCCCTCATTAAAGGCTTCATGCGGCCCCTGAGTGATAAGATGTTTTAGGCCCTTGTGTGCTAATATTTTCCATCTTAAGTCGAGCTGGGGCCTCAAGTGCAAGAGCTGTGCTGTGTGAGTGCTGAATGGAATTAATAGGAGCGGAAAATATGTAGCAACAGGTCTTGATAAAGCAACTGCTATGCAAACCTCAGCTGTTTTTCCATCCTCCATAGGAGGAGAGACAGAGAGAGAGAGAGAGAAACAGGCCAAGTGAATTAGCATAGGGAAAGTGACTAAGGCTGACATCACCCATTTCAGCTCATGGCTGCTGGACTTTGTTTAGGAATTCGCAGCCCCATAGGAGGGGATACGAAAACTTTCAGTGGGAGGGATCATTTGTGTCAGTTCCTTTATAAACACAGTTTACAGTAAGCCTGGCTGCATTCATCTGAACAGCCCTGGATCTTAAACCGTCCGCTTAGAATCTGCTCTGTGTCTGTGACTGAGCCAACCTGGGCCTTCAAAAAGCACAGTGCCCCCCAAAAATTACAAATAAAATAATGCATTTTAGGACATTTAACTACAGCTTTGCCTCACTGGTGGCCTGTGGGGCTGAATGTGATGTCTTCTACCAAAGTGAAGCCAGGGTAAGCATACTTTTTTTTTTTTCTTCTATAAAATGTATTGTATTTTTTATTTTGGTGGTGGTGTGGGGGGAGGGGGTAGAGTTTTTAGGATAAATACAGAATTAAAAAAAAGATTTTTTAATCTAATGTCCCCATCCTTTAATGCCTTAAGGATCAGCATTTAGGAAATCTCTTTGTATCCTAAGATACAAGGGTTTCGTCAGCTCCTAATTAACAGGGTTAGTTTAAAATCGTTATATGGTGGCCTGTCTGTCAACTAAGGGGTTAATATTTTCTAAGCTCCCCATCATTCATTGATACGGTCATTATTTCACTAATTGGCTTTAGGCCTGATTTTGCTACATGTCATATGTTTTAGGAGAGTTTTTATATTTTATTTATAACTGGTTTAAGGCACTATGTATTTAATTTGCACAATATGTAGCAAATCATGGTATAATACAGGGGTCTTTAGAATACTCTGGTGTCATATTCATTTTAAGTTTGTGGATTAACCAATATACAGCCTGATATTTTTTAAAATGCAGTTTTTAATCAATGTAACCGAAACAGTAATTCTAGAGGTATTTAAACTTTATATTTCATTTCACGCTGGGTTGAATCCTATAAGCAGTATTCATATTTTCCAAGCTGTTTTAGGATATACTGAATGTATTGGCACCGGTGGCTAAATTAAAGAATTTTGAGAGCTAAACTGATCCGTAATGAAGATATTCTGTGCTTTTGTTTTTTTTAGCCAATAGATTGTGTTGTTACTATTAACTAGTGCTACCATGGGTTTTAAGAGTGATTGTCAGAGGAAACAGCTGATAATACATATGTTTTAGCTAGGGAGGCAGAGAGTGAGGTATAAATAGATCTGTATATATATTGTGTCCGGATCATGGTTGGTTGGAAATTTTTGGCATATTGGCTATTTGAGCCTAAAGCACTCATCACCCTGATGGGAATTGTAGTCCAAAAATGCTTTGAGAGTATTTGATTGCCTAACCTTTATCTGTAATGTATGTTCACATGTACACTATATTTCCAACCGAGCCTTTCTATAGTATAGTGTTGAATATTAATTTATTTATGAAGCACCAACATATACCACAGTGCAGCAATTTCTCTTTTTTGACATGACTGCAGTTATTATGCATACCTGTACTGTAAACCAGTTCTTCTCAACCTTTTACAGAGACATGCCCCTGCCTCGAGAAAGTAATTTCTATTGATTTTAAATTCCAAATGAACGTGTAGACATTGATATTTAGGTTAATCCCATATTGGGGAACAAGCCTGATTAAAGGTAGTAAAGAATAATTTTAATGATGTGTATGTTAAGAGAACTATTAATTTGAAGAATTAAATAAAATATAATGCATTATAGTTATGCACAGAGGGCACTGACACAAATTTAAACACAGAGGGCACTGACGCGCACACACACAGAAGACAGTCACACGCATATAAACACAAAGTAAAATGACACACAGATTTACACACAGAGGACACTGAAAAACACACACAGAGGACACTGACAAACTCTCACTGATTTGATACACACAGTCACTGACACACACTCACAAATGATAATCCTTTGCCTGGGTCCATCCTTTCCCTGGGGTCTAGTGTGGCTGCTGTCATGGTCTTCTTGCTTTGCTTCTTCGCGCTGTTCAGTGATGCCGGGGACGGAGTGACGTCATAACCCGGCTCTTGGCATCACCACAGGGAACAAGCACAGAGATTAGAGCCCCCTCGCTCCCTGGCTACAGCCTCCCCCCAGACACTGTATTTGGGCAGAGAAGGCACCCGCCGTCTGGGTAAGCAGGGTGCCAACTCTGCTTGGTGCACAGCCAGCCGCCATGTTTGCAAAATACTGAAAATACTAAAAGGAGAGGAAGTAATATGCATACATAACATTTATATTGTGCACACATGCCCCCTTCTGGGTAACGTAGAGAATACATATACAGAGAGTAAGGGCACAATCATAAATCCAGCCATTTAATTTTACATTTTATTTGTTTCTAGAAAAATTACCGTTGACAAAATTGTCATGTTTTAGTGATGCTTTCTTCTCTTTTTTGTATTTATTTTTTTATTACAATTATTTCGGAACAGTCGGATTTATTCACTAAGCAGCGAAATTGGAAGCCAAATTGGCAAATGCGATAAAAGAACTTGGTTGGAGAAATAGGTAGACTTTATCCAGCTCAGATGTTATGAACTTAATTTAGCAATTTGCCTTCAAATTCATCATAATTCATTGTTTAATAATCTTCCTGTGTATAAATAAGATTGCAATGCGTATCTTCGTTTTAATTATCTAAATTCTGAAAAGACCAACCTAATGGACTGAACTCACAATTGTTTACTTCTTCAAAGCACTCTTGATCAGTACTCTGCAGCAGCCCTAGCGCAAGGTTCCTACAGAGTTTACATGAATTACGCACTTTACTGATCATGATAATTGGTGGATTTTTGAGCACGTTCTTTTATTTTGATGGAAGGGTGACTGACTTGGAGTTTATGAATAGACTTCATTCACACACTAAGAACATTCCGTTGTTACAATATCCATTACGAAGAATAGTTTTAAAATGAATAGGAGGTTTTTTGTTTTTTTTTACTCATTACTGTGACATTCTTTCCACAGCAAGTGACACCAGTTTTTTATTTTTTCCCGGAAGGAAAATAACAGCTGCCGTAATGAATTGGAAAAAGTATTAATTATTGTGCAGTCTCTGCATACAATTTGTCATCACCTCTTTCAATAAGCGGACTTTGGGTTACTAATCGGTGATTAATGTTCCTTACTATAAAATTCTACAATAGTAGCATAAAGGATTGGAAAATATATATAGAATTTAAAAAAATAAATTACATTTTTTTTTCACATTGATCTCTAGGGAATGAAAAGTGACTCATGTGGATTACGAGCTGATTTTAGGGGAAACCTGTATCAGAGTACAATTCAGAAAATTATAAAAGAGCACTATTTTTAAAAATATAAATATAAAAGTATTATTTTTTTGTCTTGTACCTTGTTTGATTAGGATTTTTTGTAAAATATCAGTACAAAAAGAGTGATGTGTATGACCTTGAGGACAGTAAAGTAGCACTTTTGGAGTGGTGCATCACGTATTTGGGATATTATTAAATGTTTAGGTCAACCCTGAGTGTGGCAAAAATATTAACTCTCTGTAGGGATTGTGACCTATAACCAGTTTAAGTAGGGCTTTGTGATGGGGACCATAAATGTTTTGTTTTTTTTGGAAAAAGGCTAAAAACATTAACCAAACACTATTCTAATGTAATGGCTAAGTTTGTAAGCACACTAGGTGGTATATTATGACTTGTACTAGCCTAGAATAATGGAAGAATTCCCAAAATGTTCTAATAATTCTCCATTTTATCGATTACTTTTTTTTAGAGCAAGTTTGAATCTCTGTTTAGAACGTTCGACAAAGATGTCACCTTTCAGTATTTTAAGAGCTTCAAGAGGGTTCGGATCAACTTCACCAACCCACTATCAGCTGCACAGGCCCGGATCCAGCTGCATAAGACTGATTTCCTTGGGAAGGAACTCAAGCTATATTTTGCTCAGGTATTAATTTATATATAGAGAAATGGACAATCAACTTGCTAAGTTTGTACTGGCCCTACGTTTGTTCTGTAGACTGTCTGTAAATTATAATTTAATTGTCTTTCAAGGATACTTAAAATCATCTTTCGTAAGTATAAAATAATCACCACTACATCAATGTACCCCAAAACCAGTGGGCACTAACCTAAATTTAGATGTCTCTCTTGACATTGTCTCTTGTGCTCTTTTTTCCTACCATAGATATATATATTTTTTTCTATTTTGATACGTCTTATGTGCTCTAAAATGTTATTCTTCCTTTTATTTCTGTAGACTCTGCACATAGGAAACCCACATCTGGCCCCACCTAAACCAGAGAAACAATTTTTAATATCCCCTCCTTCCTCCCCACCTGTCGGTTGGAAACAGGCAGAAGATGCCACCCCAGTTATTAACTACGACCTTCTTTATGCCATCTCCAAACTTGGTCCAGGTAAGCACCATGCTGAGTGTGACTCACAATCTATTTAATGAAACCTGGCATTAAAATAATAATGTAATGGACATGCAGTCATTATACTGTGTACTATTACAGAATTCTCTCATATGTATATATTTACACTACATTCAAGAGGTACGGTCACTTGTGCGATCTTTGCGTGGTGCCCATAGTAAGAGGAATACATTTGTATCTAAAGTTGTGCAACTGTGTGACTACAGTTCTAACAAACCACGTTAGTGGCTTCTCCTAGAACTTTGCAAACTTTGTAAATTCTTATTGTCCTTGTAGCTTTGCAGTTTTGAAGTCCAGAATATCTGTTTTGGACAACAGTCACTTGATTATATGCAGTGGTCAGCCACCATTACCAAAAGGCAGTACGGCTTTGGTGACTAACTATTTGCCTGTGTGGATACCCAGACATATATATTTCTGTGAAAATATGTAAAACGAGGTTCCTTAAATAGACAAAAAGATCTCTATTCCCCCATACCTCCCCCTTACTGACTGAGAATGATTTAGAATGCAGAAAATATGTAGATTTCTTGCTATATTTGGTTTCCTGGCAGTGTTATTCAAAGCTCGGCTGTTGAAACCCTTCTTCTCCTGTGTAGAAACATCAGATATTCTGCTAAATAACTGACTGCGTGGTAGGGAGTCGTTCTGTATGTGGAAAGTGGAACATTTTAGCTAAAGTTTACAGAAATAGCTCCTGTGATTATACAAGTACATCAGTCCAAGTTTCCGTTGTCTCCAGACCAGAACATATTTTTTGCAACACATTTTTTCCTACATTCTTTTAACAGGGAAAAAAAAAACCACCGCAATTTATTCCTCTTGCTAATGTGGGAATTTGTGAAGGTTTATTTTCAGGCTATTGCTTACTCCCTGTCAAAATATATCCTGTGGTCCAATAAAGAGCTTTTGTTGACGAAAGTACAAAATGCAAAAAAAAATCAGATTTTTTTTTTTTGCTGCGAGGTGGAATAAATAGCCCAAATTTGTTGGAAATACGGCATTTTCAATCTCCAAAATGTGACTCAGTTTGCAGTAAAACGCATTACTGTTCTGAGCAGGCATTAAAAAGATTAACCATTTTTCGTTATTGAAATATGATACAATTCATTTAAGTAATATATCGTACAGAAAGAGGAACCAGATAACCAGAACATTTTAAATCAAGTGCTGATGAAACAAGCATATATTACAGTTCATTATAAAGGAGGAATGAGCAGAAAGGAATTTGGTCTGATCAAATTAATACAGACCGGTGCTGGGCCATATATATTTTTAAATGGATCAAAGCACTAAAAAAAAGACACTGTGTTCATGAAAACCTGTAGAATAGCACTGTCATCGTCTTTACATATGTAGGTGAAGTGTCTCAGAAAATCTATTAAATGACACAAAAAAAGAATCATTGTGGGTGTCCAATATTCACCTTTGGTAAATAAGCTGCAGAGTTTGGCCTTTTCAGGCATTGCCTTCAGTGTGCAAAATTGCCTTGTTTCCACCGTACTTGGATTGACTAATGCCTGGGGACTGGATCCCTCCATTAAAGGGACACTGTAGTCACTATAACCATTTCACTTTTTTAAAATTGGTTATTGTGCCCGACGTCCCCGGTCACTGTCCCTCAATTTAGTGTTAAACCATATTAGGGCAGTTTAACACTAAATAATAATCCCTGGCCACCCACAGTCCGGCCCTTTCTGGAGGTGTGGCTAAGACACTTCCTTGTAGTCATACCCATTCATACCGTCACAGCTCTGATAGGCCTAAAGCAGTCAGCTGACACTCTCCGCCAATAACGGACAGCTGGGAGGGCGCAACTTAACAATTTTACAAAACTGACGATTAGTCTTGAAATCTGCACTTTTATAAATTGTGAAATTTGGGGATGTCTTTTTAACCCCTAAAATATTTTAGCAGGCTTAGTGCTCCTTTATTCACTCCCCAATGTTTTGTTTTATTTTATTTATAATACATGTAGCTATATGATGCCCCCTTTATATCTATTGCATAATTTCTTCCTGTGTTTCTCAATCTCCGGCTAGCAAACAAAACACCTTTTAGTAAATTAGCTTAATGTAGCCAGGTGGCTCTTTAATCCCATCCATGAATGTCTCCACCGTGAAACGTGTGTTACCATTAGGGTACCAGGGTAGCTGGCATGCTGGCTCATCTCATGCAAATGAAACCGTTTCCGATGAACAACAGATGCTAAGCTTTCAAAGCTGTACAAGGAGGATTACTTTTTTGAGCAGTAAAATTAATGTGACAACTTACAGCATGTTTGCTACAATACAGGCTGCTTAGGAAGTGTAAACACTGCCAGACCAACAACAAAATCACATGCCAGAGTATTATATCTTCATAACATCTGCTTTTTCAGAATTTAACAACATTTGGCCAATAATAGAATTAATGGGAACATCTAGGGTTCTTATCGTAAAATACGTTTCGTTCCATCAGCAAGCGGTCTGTAGCACTTTGCAGTTCCCCAGTACTAACGCTGACTGTATAATGGATTGCTCTGCCCCTCTTCCAAAGTTTTGCTTATTTTTAGAAGCGTTTTGACATGTGTTTATGTTTTGTGTTTTATTTTGTTTTTGTTTTAATTAAACTGGGAAAAATCCAGTGCTCTGTATCAGAACTCTCTGGACAGTTGAATATAAGTTTATATTCTGTGTATTTAGAATTGGATGAGGTCTTTCAATACAACTATTTATCCAGAAAAGTAGGGAGTGCACAATCACTTGGTCCATGCATGCTGCTTACAACAATGTTATTAATGTTACCTTTTTGTTTCTAGGAGAGCAGTATGAATTGCATGCTGCCACGGACACCACGCCAAGCGTCGTAGTCCACGTCTGCGAGAGTGATCCTGAAAATGAGCTGGAAGTAGTAGAAGATGAAGACGGCACATGTAAACCAAAAATCATCCAGACCAGAAGACCCGAGTACATGCCTATCCATCTGAGCTGAAGCAGAGTCCGAGATGCATGCTGTGGTTAGACGTACCATATTTCATGAAATCTTTTACTGCCCAAGCGGCAGTCACCGTTTAGAACGGCAGTGGCTGAATTGAAACGTGAGTCGGCAGAACCAAATCAGGACGTTTCCTGTTAACTTTTTTTTATGCCGATCGCCGTTCTAATGGCCTTTGTTCGATACTCCCATTGAGATGATGTTGATGACCACCAAGATGGGAAGTTGGATCGAGAATACTTGGAAAGCCTTTGTTATTTCTCATTGACTTTTTATGAAACACCCGTTTTGATACAGTGGAATGTAGAGGGCTCTTTGTTTGTTATTCATTGTGTGAAGACATGCGTGTCTATGTTATATAAACACACCTTTGTACATAGTTGCAGATATATGTCTAACATGGGACAGACATCTCAACACCTTAGCAGTTGGAGTCTTTCGGAGTCTTTTTATTGTATAATCCAACAAAATGCTGGGGGAAACATTACATTTTTTTTGCTATTTGTATGTGAAGTAAGTTAGTAACTTTCCCTGTTTTTTGTTTTTGTTTTGTTTTTTTGTTTTTCTAGTTAGGCTACAAATGTTTAAAAAGCATAAATAATACTACAAGTGTTTTTTAGCTTCTGCAAATCACCAATATGGACAAAATGATACATGGATTGAAAATGTCCATCTGTCACAGGCAAAACCATTGATTGTTGTAACGACATTTTGGTATTTAGCCTGCGTAAGTTTAAATGATATTTTTTTGGTGCACTCTTTACTGCAGCCGACAAGTATTTGCCGAGTGCGTCTTCTTGTTAAAGTCCAAGGGATGTTTAAAACCCATTATCTTTAAATGCATACATTAGTATGCCTCCATATTTGGTAAGTGGACCTATAGGCTAGCTTCTATGCATACCACGTCGCTGTGATTTTTCTAAAACGTTCCTTTATGGAGTATAACTACAACGGCCACTTCCATTCTGTAATTTGAGCTGTAATTAGTTATAAGTAACCTCTGGCACTCGTCAAGCTGTGGATGGTCAAAACCTTGGGTGGGTCCTCAAAAAACATACACTGTAGTGTTGTATTACTTTTTATTGCAATTTTGATTTCAAAATGTAAATGTGCAGTTTGGTCACAATACGTATGTACATTATATTTTACACTGCTCACCTCTCTGAACACGTAGCCATAAGAAACCGTAACTAATACGGATTAGATACAAAGCTGTGATAGTGGAGTGAAGAATAGATTAGGAAGAGATGTACATTTAGGCATAGGTAAACATTCTTCTGCATTCAAATAAATGTCCAGCCATTTACGTGAATGGATATGACCAACATCTGTGTATTTTTTTTTTTTTTTGCAAACATAACATGCACCCTTCCCTACACACAGTGCCTTTTAGGTTGTTAAGGTATCATGGTATTACTGAGTTGAAACAGCAGGTTCTAAAAAAAAATAATATATATTCATTAATGCATGCGTCCCCTATTGCAGAGACCTTGGAATCACATCGTAGCTGACTTTGCTGCGTGTTCAGACTGCTTGATGCCACAATTCGTAGATGTTCTAATTTAATACCACGTACTTGGCGTAATTATAGGTGGAATATGGAATATTATAGCTGAAGTGTAAGAAACTAATGCATGATAGCATGACCTTCACAGATTTCTGCTTGCCATTTCTGATTAAACTTTATCCCAACTCTTCCTTAGCTTATCTTTGAGTCGGACATAAAGCATAGCTGATATTTCAGACCGTTCCCTGCACTGTACGGCAGTTGACTGGAAAATTATGGAATGGTTGATTGGGCTCTGTTTTCTACCCAGTTTTAAAAACACATTTAAAGGAACACTAGGACGTTAAGAATGCAAACATGTATTCCTAACGCTATAGTGGCGTGCTGGCTTTTTAGATTACTGGATCCTCCCTTTTCCCCATAATCACTGTACTCTATGCACGTTCCGCCTCCATGGCTGAAATCATCAGTCCTGATGATCTCAGCCAATCTAATGTGTCTGCATTGGGAAGCCAGTGTGCATGCGCAGCAAGCAGACCAACTGTGCCAATTAAATGCTGCTCTGGGAGAAGCATTTGATTGAGAACTGAGTTAGAGGTGTGTTAACCCTGCTATGGAAACACTTACATTGCTGGGTTACACGAAAGGTTCACTGCACACGGATCACTTCATTGAGATGTAGTGGTGTGGGTGATTTTAATGGTCCTTTAAGGTAAAGTCTGAATAGTTGGTTGTTCAAAGAGAATTTAAAATTTTTGGCAAAAATAATAAACATGTCTTTGCGCAATTTTGACTTAAAAGTTTAAGTTCCCTTTAAATTCCCATCAATTGACGGATAATAACTCTAATCTGACTGATCACATTTCTTAATGCACCTTTTTTTATTTCATACTCAAGTGTGCTCGGTCCTCTTTATTTGCATCGTGTCCACTTATACTAGTGCCCCTTAGTGTAGAATAGCCCTCACTGCAAGGATGCACACAAACCGAATTAAAGAGCAGAATTTATAACCCCATTGAAAAGTACATTTGATGTCTGACTCTGTCTTCAATTGCAGTGCTGTCATTCAGAAACTGTTCTAGATCAGGAAATGTGTTAGCAACAACTATTTTCTTCCAGCCTCAGCCATTGCAATGTTTTCTAAGTGATAAACTCGGATTGGACACTTGCTGTCAAGGAAAGTCTGTTATTTTGTTCTGTGTTATCACAAAATACCAGTCGCTTAACCCCATTTTTAAAGCCTGCTGTTAAACTGGAAGTTTGAATTCATGTTTCAGTTTTATATGTAATATTTCAGATAATAAAATCTCTTTGCATTAGCATGTTAAAGCTACCGGTCTTTGTCTAATATCATATTTCATTTTACTAAATAATTCAATGTGCTGCACTATTATTACTATTTATTTATCTGTCTTCACATAAATTATAATACAGTTGAAACGGAAAACTACAATGAGGTTGGTTTTGGGGTTAAAGCTGAAATCTGTAGACCATGGGTCAATGATCCATTTGGATCACTTGAATTTGTTTCTGTAACAATGTATCTCTGCACAATATGGTCATATGGACATTTTACATACTTTAGGAAAACATAATTTGGGTTTTGATCCCCAAACCTTACTGTTCATCTAGGCTCCGTTAGAAATAACTAGATACCTATAGAACCGTCCCGGTTGTCTTTCACAGAAGCCAAAGCTGTCCCACATTTATTTATTTATAAAATATTTTACCAGGAAGGATACATTGAAATCTCTCTCGTTTTCAACTATGTCCCGGGACCACAAACATTGCATTGTTGCAATTGGGTACAGTATAATATTAAAAATACAAAGTAATTAAAATACACAGTGTAATATTAAAAATACTAAGTAGTATTTAACTACACATATATACATTTAACGCAGAACAGACAAAAAATATAATCAACCATGATTACATGTGCATTCTGTACTGAGATATGTTAACAGGGATCTCAAAGTATTTAAGACTGGAGGAAGATTTGATTTGGTCAGTGAGGTTATTCTATAATTGCTGTGTACTGTGTCCTGTCCCAGGAGATTCTTGCAATAGTGGGTTACAGCTCGGAGCAGTGCAAGGTGTTGTATTTCGGCAAGGAATGATATTTGAATGCACAGCACGAAAACCCTGAAAACCAGATTGTGTGAGTGCTTGAAAGTGAGGACACGCCACATATTTTCAAATTCACGTAATACTGTCATGTAAACAGGGATGCTCCACGTAATGCATTAAAAAGTTCAGTGTAAAATGACTTACCTGATATGCATGCTCAGTGTTGCCAGATTTTGAACATGTGAGGATCCTACTCTCCAGCAGCATTTGATATTGTATTCTTGTTTTAAGTCATTGAGATATTTCCGTCTTTGACCAAGCTGTGGGACAAAAGGTCGTCCAAAGTAGCTGAAATATATTTCAGAAATATACATACTGCTTCAGTGCCAATTAAATTCATGGAAGTTCCTATCAACTTCTTGCCAGATGGTATAGAATACAATACCTTCTGCACTTAATGTTTCCTTGTAATTCTAATATTTATTTAACAGTTCTTATATAGCACTCTTTACTAGAGTGATTTACAAAAGAATAAAAATAATTAGTAGTTAAACGGGATAAATAAATAGTCACACTGCAACAAATTTAGAACATTAAGACAAAAGTTTATGGGGAATATCTACAATTGTTAAGTAACAGACGTTTATCCATGATTGTCCAATGTAAGGAGTACTGCTTAAGAGTTAGACCGTGAGTATGATAAAAATAGAATCTAGAAGCATTGCATTCAATAGAGTAAGTAAAGTATAGATTAGAGACAAAGAGTTTGGTTGATAAGCAAGACGTCAGAGGGGCCCTTGGTAAGTGGACCTGCAGACAAAGGAAGGTGGTGTTTAATAGAAGATAATTTACCTAGTTGGGTTATGTGCATGGAATCAATGTAAAGTTTCAGCTGGGGGACAGGAAGAATCCTGGGTGGTGGCTGGACTGCTGGAAATTAGGAAATAATGGGATGGTGATATGGTTAGATATGTTGAGCTGTGAGGGATTGGGTTAGGAAGAGACCAGAAAGGCTTCAGTGAAGAGATGTGATTTAAAGGGATACTATACTCACCAGAACAACTACAGCTTATTGAATTTGTTCTGGTGAGTAGAATCATTACCTTCAGGCTTTTTGCTGTAAACACTCTTTTCAGAGAAAATGCAGTGTTTACATTACAGCCTAGTGATAACTTCACTGGCCACTCCTCTGATGGCTGTTGAAGATCCTTCCTGGGTCATGGCTGCCTAGAATGCATCCAAACATTGTGTCTCCTCCCTGTGCATGCAGACATTGAACTTTCCTCATAGAGATTCATTGATACCATTCATCTCTATGAGGAGATGCTGATTGGCCAGGGCTGTGTTTGAATCATACTGGCTCTGCCCCTGATCTGCCTCCTTGTCAGTCTCAGCCAATCCTATGGGGAAGCATTGTGATTGAATCCGGCTACCACTTCTGATAATGTCAGAAGGCAGTGGGCAGGTCTAAAGGAAACCGGGACAAAGCAAGCAGCTCCAGACCTGAATACAAGTAAGATTTCACTATATTTAGGGAGGCATGAGGGGGCCAGGGAAGCTAGATGGTGGTTTTAACACTATAGGGTCATGGATATATGTTTGTTCCTAACCCAATAGTGCACCTTTAAGAAGTTTGTATAAAGATGATAGAGAGGTGGAAAAATGTGGGTAGGGAGCTTGTTCCAGTGGTCGGGACTCAGTTAATTAGTGAAATTGTCAGTGGATATATTGGTGTGGGGGTTGGGTAAGATGTGGAGCAAGCTCTGGAACACGGAGGGTAACACAGGAAAGCAGCGTCCTCTGGAACACAGAGGGTAAAAGGAGCTCTGGAACACTGAGGGTATTACAGAATAGCAGCAAGCTCTAGAACTCTGAGGGTAACATAGAATATCAGCAAGGTCTGGAACACTGAGGCTAAAACAGAATGGCAGCAATCACTGGAACACGGAGGGTACCACAGGATAGCAGTAAGCTCAGGAACACTGAGGGTAACACAGGATAGCAGCAAGCTCTGGAACGTGGAGCGTAACATGAGCTCTGGAACACTGAGGGTAACACAGAATAGCAGCAAGCTGTGGAACACAGAGGGGAACAGCAGAGGTGAGTTATACTCAGGGGCATACCTAGAGCATGTGGCACCTGGGGCAGGTCCTTGGTTTGGCACCCTTCCTCCCCCTCCAAAAACAAACAAACCACCTTCTAAATTTTTAAAATGTGTTCTTTTTAAATTCTTTAAAATGTGTTGCACAAATTTGTAAACTTTTTAAAACCCCTGCCCCTTTCTACTAAATGCCTGTCCCCCCTCACACACAGTTACAAGCAGTCACACATTTAGTCACTGGCAGTCATACACACAGTTACAGGTAGAGAGTTACACACACATACAGTCAGTTACAAGCAGTAAAACACAGTCACGCACACTGTTACAGGCAGACAGTCATATATACACAGGCAGATAGTCATACACATAGTTACAGTCACAGGCAGATAGTCACACATGATTATAGGCAGACAGTTACAGACACAGTCAGTTACAGGCAGTCACGCACAGTTACATGCAGACAGTCACACACACACACACAGTTACAGGCAGCATCACAGTCACAGGCATGCAGTCACACACACAGTTATATGAAGACAGTTATATACATACACACAGTTACAGGCAGACAGTTACACACACACACAAACAATTACAGGCAGAGAGTTTTACACACACACACACACACACACACAGACAGTTACACACACACAAAGTTACAGGCAGACAGTTACACACACACACACAAAGTTACAGGCAGACAGTTACACACACTCTCTTACTTACAGACAGTGTGGGCTGGAGGAGTGGATTCATTGAAGTCCTTCCCTGGCTGGTGCCTGTTAGGTGGAGGAGCAGGGATTTCTTCTTGCTGCACATCCATGTGCAGCAGTAACAGCAGAAGGTAAGGGCTGTGTTAAGCCCGCCCCCTGCTCGCGGATTGGCTGCGCCCCATATGTCTGTAGCTCCTCACCCTTCTTCCTACCGTGTGGCCAGTTCAGCTTGCTGGTCTCTCTGTGTGAGCTGTGCGACACATCCCCCATTAGCCCTCAGACCAGGGTCATGTCACCACCCTACCAGGTGGCACCCGGGGCGGACCACCCCTCCCCCCCCGAGTCCGCCACTGGTTATACTTACCTTATTCTGTCCCCCACAGGTGCTGTTCTCTTGGAGTTTTTAGCTTCTGGCGCTTTATTTGGCAGAGGTCCACATCAGTGCTCTACTCTTGCACATAGTGAAGATTACAACCCTGATATCTATAAAGGATTCGACAAGATCACCGGATCCTCCATCAATATTATCTCATGATGTGCGGCATAAAGCCTTATTGCCACAGCCGTCATTAGTGAGTTGATGACGGTAGCTCAGCCTTTTGTCAACTTGAGAATTTATCAAAAGAAAAAGTAGTCCATATTTTGTCTTATAATATCTTTTGACTGTGGTGTAATTTCTTAACTATTTTATCTTTATTTTTTTGAAATGCCTATATATTTTTTAACTAATTTTTTATTATTTCTTATTTACTCTTTTCACATTTCAATGCACTCTCTGTAATTAAAAATGGGTCAAATATAATATATGTAACTTTTTTTTACTCTATTATGGGTCTCTCTCACTAATCCAATTAATGTAATAATACCACTTTTCCTCTTTATCTCCCATCCCCTCGTCACCTACTGTACTCTCAGGGTACCTGGAGCGTTTGGGAAACAAAAATATTCAACGTTAGAACAGATATAAATTATATTTTCCAAATTCTTTCTCTAAACTCATCATCTAAGGATTTAATAAAGGGACCCCAGGTAAGGAATTTTGTTACATGTCTATAGGTCATAGTATATATATAAATAATTTATTTTTTTATTTTTTTTATTGAAAACAAAACATTACTCCATAAGAGAATACTATGTTTTAATTTTCCACATGTCCAAAAGAGTGGCTTTTGTATTTATCTTTTACTCCTCAATAAAATGTTTTGATGTTTTGGGGAAAATGAGGAATATCCTACTTGGAGTTTATTTTTTTTTAATCTTATTTATTGGACTGTTCAAGTCTCCAGTTGACATTGCTTTTTCATAATATGTCCAGAAGATGGTGTTAGAGTGCTGAATATTTTACCAAATTCTAATGGTGATGAACAGGCAATGTATTATATTATTATATTATTGTATTATTTGTTTTTGTTAATCTGGAAGTCGCTGTGTGAACCTGATTAAATAGGA